GCAGAGGGAGAAGCAGGCTCCATGCAGGGAGCCTGACATGGGACTCGATCCCGGGACTCCAGGATCACGCCCTGGGCCGAAAGCAGCGCTAAATTGCTGAGCCACCAGGGCTGTCCTGTTCATGACTTTAAAGAAAAACATGAATATGATGAGATGAGAAGTTATAAAAAAGAACCCTGTGGAATTTCTAGAGCTGAAAAATAAAATATCTGAAGTGCAAACTCATTGAATAGACTTAATGGCAGAAGAGATGGCAGTGAACATGATGACATACCAATAGGAACTAAGCACATTGAAACAGGAAAAAAACAAAAAACAAACAAACAAAAGAAACAGGAAAAAACAAAACTCAAGAACCTGTGGGAGAGTATCAACAAAAGAGAGCAATGAAGAGAGTATATTTGAGAGAGTAATGGCTGACATTTTTGCAAGTTTGAAGGAAAAGTAATACACTCACAAATCCAGGAATTTAAGTGAAACCTAAGGAGGAAAAACACAAAGGAAGCTATAATAAGCACATGATAACTAAATTGCTGAAAAAGTGATAAAAATAACAAAATTATCAAAAAATTTACAAACAGAGGAACAAAAATAACTATAACCACAGAGTTCTTGTCAGAAAATAACTTCAAGACAAAGGACAAAGCAAGGACATTATTAATGCACTAAAAACAAAAATATACAAATCAAAACAAAAACATTGCTAATCTAGAGTAATATACTCAGAGTATCATTCAAAAATGAAGACAAGGCGATCCTGGAGACCCGGGATCGAGTCCCACGTCAGGCTCCCGGTGCATGGAGCCTGCTTCTCCCTCTGCCTGTGTCTCTGCCTCTCTCTCTCTCTCTCTCTCTCTCTGTATGACTATAATAAATAAATAAATAAATAAATAAATAAATAAATAAATAAATAAATAAATAAATAAATTCAAAAATGAAGACAAGGAACACCTGGGTGGCTCAGTGGTTGAGTGCCTGCCTTTGGCCCAGGGCATGATCCTGGAGTCCCAGGATCGAGTCCCACATCGGGCTCCATGCATGGAGCCTGCTTCTCCCTCTGCCTGTGTCCCTGCCTCGCTCTCTGTGTCTCTCATGAATAAATAAATAAAATCTTAAAAAAAAAATGAAGACAATACTTGTTCAGAGAAACAAAAACTGAGAGTATGTAATACCTGCAGACCTGCACTGCAAAAAAACATTAATGAAAGTTTTCTGCAATGAAGGAAAATGATTCTGAATGAAAATCTGGGTTGACATAAAAAAAGGAAATAAAGAACTCTAGAAATGGGATATAATGGCTGAATATAAAAGACATTTTTCTCATCCACTAAATTTCACTAAAAGATATGACTGCCCTAGCTAGACCTGGTAACTCAATGATATGATCAAAAATCTATCTTAAATCCCATCATGACCATAATAAGATACCACCTCATGCCCATGAGGATGAAAACAAACCCAAGACCCAAAACCAAAACCAAAAAACCTAAAACCCAAACCAAACTAAAAAACTGAAAACAGGAAAATAAAAAGAATTGGTGAGAATGTGAGAAAATTGGAACCGTTGGACACTGTTGCCGGGATTGTAAACTGGTGTAGTCAATATGGAAAACAGTATGGTGGTTCCTAAAAAAAAAATTAAAATTAGAATCACCATAATATCAGGGAGTGGGGCTTTAGGAGGTGCTCAGGTCATAAGAATAGATCCCCATGCTAGAATGAATGATATTATAAAAGAGGCACCAGAGAAATGTGTAACCCCTTCCACCATATGAGAACACAGAGAGGAGCTGCCTATGAGCCACAAAGAGGGCCTTCACTAGATTGCAAATATTCCCGCCCCTTGATCTTGAACTTTCATTTTAGAGTAAACTCTCCCCTTCCCCCCACATGGAGCTCAAACCCATGACCTTGAGATCAAAAGTTGCATGTTCCACTCACTGAGCCAGCCAGGCACTTTGATCTTGGACTTCTCAGCCTCCAGAACATGAGAAATAAGTTTCTGTTGTTTATAAGCCACCCAGTCTGTGGTATTTTGTTATAGGAGCCTGAATAGACTAAGACGAATAGGAAAAGATCTAACATGCAAATAGTTTTCAAAAGAAAGCTTTAGTGGCTATGTTAATACCCAACAAAGTAGACTTTAGGACACAGACTATTACCAGGGAGAAAGAGGGACACTTCATTATGATACAAATGTCAAGTCATCAAGCAGATATTCTAATCCTGGGAGTACATGCACCTAATAGCAAATCCTCAAAATACATAAGGTAAAACCTGACAGAACTGAAAGAAGAAACCATCAAATCAGTTGGAGACACTCCTTTTTCAATAATGAGTAGAGCAAGCAAGTGGAAAAATAAAGATGCAGTAGACCTGAGCAGCACTGTTGTACAGTTTGACCTAATTGACATTTATGGAACAATCGCCCACCACCAATAGAATACACACTTTTTTCAAATGTGGAAATTTGAAGAATTTGAGGAATATGAAGGTAAATCATATTCTAGGTACCATAAAACAAAGATCAACAGATTTTTAAAGGACTGAAATATACAAAACACGTTCTCAGATCCCACAGAATTGAATTAGAATTAAATATCAGAAAGATATTTGGAAAATTCACACCCCCCAAAAAAATTTGGAGATTAAACAACACATATAAATAAACCAGTGGGTCAAAGAAGAAATTGTGAGGGAAATTAGAAACGATTTTGAGCTGGAAGGTCATGAAAACATGATGTGAAAACGTGCAGAGTGCAGCTAATGCAGCAATTAGAGGGAAATTTATAGTTGCAAATGCTTATATTAGAAAAGACAAAAGATTTCAGTTTCCAACCTTAAATGCTAGAAAAAGAAGACAAAATTAAACCCAAAGTACATACAAGAATGAAGACAAGAGTAAGAATCATTGAAATGGAAAGTGTATAAACAGGAGGAAAGAATTCAATACAATTAAAATTGATTCTTGGGGTGCCTGGGTGGCTCAGTTGGTTAAGCGTCGACTTCAGCTCAGGTCATGATCTTAGGGTCCTGGAATCGAGCTCCACATCGAGCTGCCCGCTCAGTAAGGAGTTTGCTTCTCCCTCTCCCTCTGCCCCTCCTCTGGCTCCTGCTCTTTCTATCTCTCTCTCAAATGAGGAAAATCCTTTTAAAAAAAAAAAAACTTTGATTCTTTGAATAAATGGGATAAAATCGAAATAGACGATAAAACGAAGAAATTACCAGTGTCAGGAATGAAAGACAGTGCATTCCTACAGATTCTTCAAACATTAAAAAGATGACAAGAGTGTATTATGAACAACCTCACATCCGTCAATTTGATAACTTAGCTGAAATGGCTGATCTACAGAACATGTGGAGCATTCATTCCTCAAATATACTCAAGAAAAAATATAAATATGAACTGAAAAGCTATAGGGCCCCCGGGACACAGAGGAGAGGAGAAGGCGCGTGGATGGAGACGGAGGGAGGAGTGGTGGCTAGTTGGCCACGCTGCAGGAAATGAGACCTGAGCCCACTGATGGGGAGCCCAAGGCCAGGATGGGGCAGCAGGATCCTTGGTGACCTCTGGCAGCAAGAGCCCCTTCCCAGGAGACTGTGAAGCGGCCCAATGCACCTGCTGGGGACTGTGGGCTCCTAGAGCGCCCAAGATGTGTGACAGCTGGCAGGCCACCCCTCTTTTCCTTGCCTCCTCCCCCCAAGTTAGAGGGGGTCTTGATCCTGCCATTCTGCCACTGAGAATGGAGCAGATAAGCAAAATTATACCAGCATCAGTGAACTTTGGCAAAAAAGAACTCTGCAGAGTGAACTTCATTACATTTAATCATCAAGTCAATTTTTCGATGGGCGTTTGACTCATCCGTTAGTTGGTACTTTCAAAGCTGCTGTTAGGTGTTTTCTCTCGGGGCCATATGTCTATGCTGTCCAACTGTGCCCTGTCCAAATACCTTGCAGATATAAAGTTGGCCAAGAGGATTTCATTTTCTCATCAACCGTTAGTCAACAATAAATTTTGTTGTGTGCGATTATACCCCTCAGCTTCGTTTTGAGCACATTATCAACAGGGGATATTTATTACACATTAGTTAAAAAGTGGACTGTGTGTTTCATTTTTAGCTGATACCTGGGGCAGTCATGGTAGCTTGGGGAGGCCTTGTCCAGAAGACCCACAGTGGGTCCCACAGTGGCAGGGAGCGAGGGCAGGTGGGAGCTCCCAGGGTCAAGCGGGGCGGTCAGACCCTCCTGCTCCCTCCACGGCCCTCCTCCTTGTAACTCAGGAGACCACAGAGTCCCCAGCTCGCAGGCTGCAGACTGTCACAGTCGTGTCATGGGCCCCGCCCTTTCCTGCGGGTCACAGTCCCCGGGGGGGGGGGGGCGCCCCACCGCTCGGGGTACAGGTCTGAGGACACAGCACGGTGCGCCCCACCGGCGCCTGGCGGTCTCGAGCACAGCCTCTGCACCTCGCTGGAATGCACCTGCTACGCTCCTCCAGCGCCCGGACCTCCAAAGCCGGCCTCTCCCCTCTCCTGCTCCCGGCGGCGTGGGCTATGGACTCAGGTACTGTGGGTCCCCCAGGAAGGCACCGTGGGGGCGAAGATGCCGTCCTCTCAGAGATCACGAGGGGCCTGGAGGAGGTGTGCTCCGGGCCAGCGCCCCCTCATAGCTGTCTCTCAGGGGCACCTCTGAGCCATCCTGCAGAGGTGCACGTGGCCATTGCCCTCGGGGCCTGCGGGGCGCTCTGGACACTGGGCATCCTTCTTTTTGTCATCCTCTTCCTCACAGAGGTAGGTGAGCACCCCTGGAGACTGCGCCAGGAGGCTGACCTGCACCACGCCCCAAGCCCCAGCCTTCCTGGTTCAGCCCCCTTCAGGGAGGAGTAGGGAGCCAAGCCCACGGGCACTGGCTCCAGCCAGGCCTGTCAAGGCTCCTTCGCCCTGACGTGGCGAAGCCTCAGGTCCCATGAAGCCCCACCTGGCCTTCCCGCGCTCCATGCATACCCCCAGGGGCTCCTGCTGGCTCCCGCCTGTCAGCCCGAGCAAGAGCAGCGGTGGCAGCGCTGGGCCCTCACGGCACCGTGTGTCAGGGAGGGCGGAGCGCTTCCTCCAGTGGCAGCCGTGGCTCTGGGAGCTGACGCACGTCGTGGCCTGGATCTGGGCATTCCACCTGGGGCTGACTGCGAACCTGGTGTGGGTCTGGCACCGGCTCCGAGGTACCTGGCCGTGAAGGGGAAGCCACTTGAGGAAGGGTCCTTGCCTACATGTCCAGCCGAGAACCGACTCCCTGGTCTGGGGAAGTGGGGGGGGGGCAGGTGGAGGCCTGCAGGCAGTACCCAACCTTGGACATAGGGGTATGGACAAGGGGACAGATTTGGGTCCCAGCCAGGGCCCAGAGAACAGCCAGGCCTGGGCCCTCCAGGACTTGACCCCAGCCAGAGGACACACTGGATAGACAGGCTCTCCTGCACTTCGCTCACATTCCTGCCCATCGTCCCCTTTGCCGCGGTGGTCACCGTCAGCGCTGTGCTTCTGATCAAGGGACAAGGTACTGGGGTGGGGCTGGGGCATCCTACCACCCCCCAGGGGCCCTTCCTCCGCTCACTAGTCAGTATCTGGCTCCCGCCCAGGGCTGAGCTTCAAGAACAGGTCTTTGGTATCACCTGAACCCACCGATTCTACAGGTCCAGTTGGCCTGGCAGGTAGAAGGGTCATGGACACTAGCCATGTGCTGGCCTCGGCTGCTGTGGGGTGGGGGTCAGTAAAGGTGGCTGGCTCTGCCCCTTGCGTCAGGGCACAGGGCAGAGATGGGGAAAAGACTGGGCAAGGGGTAGCAGTACACACGGGGACAGAGCCCACCAATGTCCAAGTCACAGCCCTAGGGCTTCCAGGGGTCCTCGGACAATCACTTTGTGCCTCAGTTTTTCCACCTGTGAAATGGGAGCAGAGGCTGCTGGAGGTGCTCACCTGCGGGTCAAGCATAGCCTAACTCCACTGGCTACTCCTGAGGGAGGGGGCTCACCCCAAGTCTCAAGAGCTGAAGAGGGACGGCATGTAAGACAAGGGGCCAGAGAGTGGGCCCTTGGGAAGCCTGACGGGGGATGGTGGTGAGTACTCAGGAGCCTGAGGAGTAGTGTGAGCAACTGAGAACCCGTCTTGGGGGGTCCACGGCAAGAGCTGAAACAGTGCAGGGCCTCCACGGGGGTGGGCGGGGGGCAGCCTTGGCAGGCTGAGTGCACTGCTCACCCCCTTCCTCCTAGTGTCTTTCCAGCTCAGCATTCCTGAGAAGAGGTGAAACAGGGTCCCTGCTTCCCCTGATCCGTGCAGGTCACGATGGGGGGGGGGAGGCAGGGGGGCAGAGGCGGGCAGGGAGTGGATGGCGCGCTGGGCAGGGCTTCCCACGCGGCTGTCGCGTCTAGACTGCAGAACTGGGAAGATGCGAGTCCTGAGAAAACTGGGGGCAGAGGAGAACAAAGCGCTGGCTCAGACCTGTCCTGGGAGGAGGCATCCGGGGGCAGTAAAGCAGAGACAAGAGACGGAGAGATCCGAGAGGCTGGGAAGACTTAACGGCCTCTCTCCACTGAGTCCCTCACTTCGCCCCAGAAATTAAAGGACGGGGCCAATCACAGCCCCATTGTCTTGAGTGTACGTCATATTATTTTTAAGATAAATATTGTTTTACTAGGAAGAAAATGCCTCTTGTGTTCCTAATTTTAAGAGGCTCTGCCACCAGGCAGGTGTGGCGACCAGAGCACGTCCAGAGGTGAGGGGATGCCCATAGCTCTGCAGTTGGCCTCCTAAGAGGTCCACACGAGCCTTCCTACTGATGCAGGCTTCCTTAAACCGTGTTCCTCCCAAACTGCCAGGTGCACAGTTCGTGCCTCTGCTCACACGGCAGCAAACGTGGACACACCTGCACAGGAGAGGAACTATGTGATGACAGGCCCCAAGCAGGTGTGGCTTCAAGTTGCCGGTCAAAGGTGGTAGAGACGCAGGTCTTTCAGAGCACCCGGCCGGGGGTGAGGCGGGACCTGCCCGGCGCTGGCACCCCTGGAAGCTGACCCGGGGCTGGTCAGTGGGATGAGACAGCAGGCGCTCACGTGTGGGCTCAGGAACCCAGAGGGAACCCCAGACAGAGAGGCAGTGGACAAGTGACGGCATCCGAATGGATGCAACCTTCAGGGGCCTCCAGGAGTGGAAAGAATCCCAGAGATGAGGGGTTGTGCGGTGCTCTGTCCTGGTAGGACCGGGGACCTTCCCCGGGGGAGGCTTGCTCACGGCTGCGGCCCAGGAACTGGGGCACCCTCTAGCACGCGGGAGCGACGAAAGGAGTGTCCCCTGGCGGCCAGACTCCGGGAGCGACGAAAGGAGTGTCCCCTGGCGGCCGTGGGCTCCGGGGCCGGGGCCGGTCCAGCGTCCTCGTCGGGAGCCACAATCCTGCGGGCTGGCGGGACCCCCGCGGGGCACACACGCGGGCGGGGCCGGAGGGAGACGGGAGGGGGTGGCCGTTGCCCGGGGGATGCGCTGGCCGCGCGGGAGGGCGACTGAGTTCTGTCTCCATGGAGACCGTGAGCCAAGGTGAGCCGCCCCCCCCACCCCCCCCCCCCCCGCCGGCGACGCTAAGGCCTGGAGAGGGCCCAAGATTAAGGTCAGACGATGCCCTGGCCCCTGCCCGGCCCCACCCCCCGGGGGCCGCCTCCCCCCACCTCGCGGCCCGCAGGCCCACGTCGCTAGAATATTTGGATATTCGGGCCGGGTCAAGGGAAGGCCCTCGGCGGGCCGCAGCCCATGGCGCCCAAGAAGCAGCGCGGGGCCAGCGTGGGGCGCCGGCCGGGCGCGGGGGGGGACGGCGCCGAGCCGCCGCTGTCGGAGCGCGCACAGTACCTGCAGCGCGAGGACACGCGGCTCTCGGAGGAGCTGGGCGCCTGCCAGGCGCGCGTGGACCAGGTGCTGCGGGACAACGCCTTCCTGGACGCCGAGGCGCTGCGCCTGCGCGAGGAGAACCGGCTCCACGCCAGCTCCGCGAGCGCGCGCGGCCGCCGCTGCCCCCGCGCAGTGGTGCGACTGGACGAGCAGCACCGCGCGGACCTGAGGCAGCTCCAGTGGCAGCGGGCGGAGCTGACCTCGCTCTTCCGCGGCCGCGAGGACGGCGTGCGCACGCAGCTGCTGGAGAGGGAGGCGCGCGCGGCGCAGATGGCGCGGCAGGTGCAGGAGCTGCAGCCCTACAAGGCCAGTGGCGCCCCGGCCGTGCCCCGAGGGCGAGGTGGGCGCGCGCCGCCCCCGCTCTGACCCGCGCCCCCGCCCCCGCTGCAGGAGCTGCAGCTGGAGCAGTTGGCCCGCATCCGGGCTCTGGAGCGCGAGCTGCTGCACATGCGCGTGGAGCACACGCAGCTGCTTCGCCGCGTGAAAAGGCGTTTCCTGGAGGACAAGGCGGCCTTCGAGCGCGAGGCGCGTCAGCGGGTGCAGTCCCTGGCGCGACGCGCCGAGCGGGAGGCGGCCCGGGCACTCATCGCGCACACGCAGGCCATCAGGGCGGACAACGGGCGCCTGCGGCAGGAGCTGCTGCGGCTGCTTCGCTGGGCTCAGGGGCTGCACCACATGCGGCGCCAGCTGCTGGAGCAGCGCGAGCAGCTGCGGCGTGAGCACCAGGACACTCGGGACCTGGTGCGTGTGCACGGCTGGCTGCGCCGGGGCCCCGACGGCCCGCCGCTGTGGCAGCCGCCGCCCGCCTCGCATCCCGTGTCCTTCTCCGCCTCCACGGCCCCGTCGCGCGTGGCCTCCCAGATCCTGTCATCGCTCCTGTCGCATGTGGACTCCTGGATCCCATCACGGGCCCCCTCGGGGGCGGGTTCACGGGCTCCATCCCAGCCCTGCACGAACGCGGGTGTCCGGGTCCCGTCCCTGACCCTGTCCCTGACCCCGTCCCGCCCGGGCTCCCGGATCCTGTCCCTGGTCCCGTCCCTGACCCCGTCCCACAAGGGCTCCAGGGTCCCGTCCCTGACCCCGTCCCGCCAGGGTGGCCGGGCCCAGTCCTTGCCCTCGTCGCGCCCGGGCTCCCAGGTCTCTTTGCGGGCCCCTTTAGCTGGCGCCTCACAGAGCAACACTCCTGCTAAGTCGGTCTCGCGATCAGGCTCCTCCTGTCCCCCAGTCCAAGGAGACCCCGGACACTGACGCTGCAGCGGAAGCCGCCCGTGGAGACGTGGAATCGCGAGAGGCCGTGGGGGGCGTGTGAAGGTGAGGGCGCGCGAGCTCAGGTGTTCGGGGCCGCACTGTTAATAAAGATGTGAGCGGCATGGCCCGCAGCAGGTCTGGAGGCACGGCCCCCTCCTTCTCGCTTCGTTTCCAAACGGCAAAGCAGTCGGGTGCGCCGCTCGCCCCGCGTGTCCCTGTACCCCACGACTGACCCCATCTGCTCCGCACGGGCAGAGGACGTCAGCCACGCGGGGTGGTGCAAGCAGGGCAGGAGTCCGCTGGCCTGGGGGCGCTGGGCGCTGCAGCCGGGAGGGCTAGCATCGGGTGGGCTGTGGTCGGGAGGGCCATGGGGTGGGGGTCTAAAGGTCGTGGGAGCTTTTATGCTTAACTTATTGGGGATTTGGGGGTAATTTTTAATTTAATATAATTTCCAGCTTGGAGAAAAGTTGCCGAGTACAGAGAACTCCCGCACATGGTTTATCAAGAACCGCCGGCAGTGTGCATTCTGCCCTGTGTCTGTGTCTGCATTTTGTTCCTGAACCACTTGAGATTAGGTTCAAGACCCCAGGCCCTTTTGCTTAAAGGATTTAACATCCTTTAGTGTTACTGAGCACGAGCATGTTCTCCTACTACCCCAGTACAATGATCCAAATCCAGAAGTGTGGTACAGAGAAGACAGTATTGGCTAAGCCACAGGTCACATGCACCTGCTGTCTGCTGTCCCAACAGCATCCTTTGTGGCTCCGCCTCTGGCAGGGCTGCACATTGCATTCAGCTATCAGTCCCAATGTGCCTAGGCTGGCCCCGACGATGTCCCATGGTTGTGGTTTGTATTCACCCACAGCCATACCTAGGGAGGACCAGCAGCTGGGGGGTGGGGGTAGGCCCTGCTGCTCTCATGCCCTCAATCCTGGCCCTAGGGCAGGGACTTCATCCCCAGCACAGAGGGAAGGTTCTTAAAAATTCTGGGTCTTTGGCTGCACATTGCCAGCCGGCGTCAGAGAGGCCCAAACAGGAGGTGGCCATGGCTAGAGTGGCTGGTGCCCTTCTGGAGGGAGGGTGCTCCCCAAAAACGGTGGCCTACAGACCAGGGGTCCAAGCAGCCAGTCCTGATGGCCGTTAACCTTAAAAATGAAAGGGCCAGTTATTTGACCAGCAGAAATGGGTCTGTTCAGGAACAGCAGGGAATTGCAACCCCCAGGCAAGTCAGCTAGGGCAGGAGGCAGGTGAGCCCTGGGAACAAAGAAGCTCTACAGGCTCAGGCCAGGGGGAGCTGGGAGGGGCGGCTGTAAAGAGAGTGTCCCTTGGCCTGAGCGGAGCTGGACCTGTAGCGGCTTCTCATTGGCTGGGCTGTTGGCGGAGAGGGAGGAAACCATCCTTCCCCAGGGGGCCTGGAGGGCTGCAGTGACTGGCGAGGCCCCAGCTGGCTCTGTGGGGACAAGATGCAGGGGCTGCAAGAGGTCCCCCTACTGGCTTCCCAGCTCCCCCCCCCCCTATTATTTTCACAGCTCCCGTGGAAGGGGATGGTCAGGGCAGGCGGAACCGGGACTGGACCCGGGCGTGGTGGAGACAGGAGTTCAGATCACAGGTTTAAAATGGAGCTTTTAGTCATCAAGGGCAGTGCACACTGAGGGTGAGCCACCCCGGGGAAGTGGGCAGAAGCCCTGGCCTGCCTCACCTAGCGGTATTTGGGGTTCTGTATGCTTTGGCCACACCCCCCACCGTGAAACTTTGGTTTAAACGTTCTGGTCCGGGATCCCTGGGTGGCGCAGAGGTTTGGCGCCTGCCTTTGGCCCAGGACGCGATCCTGGAGACCCGGGATCGAATCCCACGTCGGGCTCCCGGTGCATGGAGCCTGCTTCTCCCTCTGCCTATGTCTCTGCCTCTCTCTCTCTCTCTCTCTCTCTCTCTCTCTCTCTCTCTCTCGCTGTGTGTGTGACTATCATAAATAAATAAAAATTTAAAAAAAAGTAAACGTTCTGGTCCTGGGTGGGCAGTGTTCCTAGGTCCCTCCCAGCACTAAACACAAACACTCTTGGAGGAGTTCAGCATTTCCCTTTAAAAGGAACTAGGGCTCCTTTGAGATTTGGGGAAGGAAATAACACAAAATGTGTTTAGGACATCTTGTGCCAGAAAGCAAGGTTGCTACCAGAAAGAGACCTTTGCCAGAGGGACAAGGTGACAAAAGTGAAAGGCCCTGAATGGCCAAAAAGCCAACAATTTCATCATCAAAAATAATAATGTCTGTACTGAACAGAAACATACCACATATATAAAATGCATGTTTAAAATACTATAAAAATCCATTCCATTAGCCATTTGAAAGTTGCTACTACAGTCATCCACTGTTGAAAAATTGGTAGTTGAAGAATCACATCCTTTCTGACTCTCCCCTATGAACTGCATTTCAGGACAAATTGGTGAAGGAAAGTTATGTGTAGAATTCCATCTAGTAAATGCAGAAGAAAGAGTTGGCAATGTCATAATGGCAGTAAAAGCCTATAGGTGGAAGACTGATGAAAATAATGGAAGATTCAGCTGACCCTCTGAACCCATGAGTGACCCTAACTCTGCCAGGAGGGTATTAAGTGCCTACTGGTATGAAGCCATAGAATCTTGCACAATGCAACCTACAGAGCTTTCCTGATGAGAAACAAACTGATCTAATCAAGCTTCTGAATGTAACTACGAGCATATACAAAATACAGGGGAAAGAGGAACATATTAAAAGATATAGTAGGGATGTAGTCATTCAAATCTTCTATGGAGTAAATGACTTTTCCCCCAAAAAAATAAATGGGAAGGGATTTTTTAAAAAGAAGGAACAGAGTTCCTTTAGTTTTGTTATGGATTAACAGACTTAAGATACATTTCCACTAAATGCAACATGTAGACCTTGTTCAAACCCTTATTCTAATTTGAAGTGTTAAAAAAATAATAATACTTTGAAGTGTTAAATCAGGATCCCTGGGTGGCTCACCGGCTGAACACCTGCCTTTGGCCCAGGGTGTGATCCTGGGGTCCCCAGATCGAGTCCCACATCGGGCTCCCTGCATGGAGCCTGCTTCTCCCTCTGTCTGTGTCTCTGCCTCTCTGTGTCTCTCATGAATAAATAAAATCTTTAAAAAAATGAAGTGTTAAATCAAGATAAAGTTTACTGGTACTTATGAGGGTAATAAGCAGTAACATGTCTCACACCTTCTCTTCCCAGGTACTCCTCCTATCAACTGATGCTCTGATACTCTAGTCTTTCTTCTGCCCAGACACCCTCTGTCCTCAAGACCCTCTAGCTCACAGATTCCAATGAAATAGCTCCCTGAGAGACATCACTCAGACTAGGCATTTGTCAGTTTCTCTCATTTCAGTTTTGTCATTTCTACTTTATGTATTTTAAAGCAATTATTAATTGCATATGAGTTTAGAACTCTTCCTGTAGTTTCTTCCTATAGTACAGGAAAGTCTAGCTCTCCCCTCTAAATTGAGCAGTGTTTTTTTTTTTTTTTTTTTTAGTGTTCTTCTTTATACCTCTGCCCACAGCCTGTTATTAATGTGGCTGCTTCAGATTTCTTTTGGTTTGTCTTGCACACCCCTCTGTATGGGTGTCAATTATATATTTTCAATGTGTCTCTAGAGGCAGTTTAAGTGGTTCTTATTGTTTTAAATCCAGTCCAACAGGGGTGCCTGGGTGGCTCAGTCAGTTAACCATTTGCCTTTGGCTCAGGTCATGATTCTGAGGTCCTAGGATCTAGCCACAAGGCAGCCTCCCTGCTTAGTGAGGAGTCTGTTTGTCCCTCTCCCTCTGCACAACGTCCCCCCTACTGTGTGCTGTTGCTCTCTCTTAAGTAAATTTTAAAGATCTTTTGAATAAATGAACATAGCCCAACAATCTTTGTCCAATAACTTTCATCTCAACGTATTTGCAGTATTGGTAGCAGTATTTTTAAAATCAGTTTATTTTATACTTTCTGTATTTTCTTTCTTTGTATTTCTCTTGAAGCCCTTCCCCCGTTTCATTTGTTTTCCTCCACTTGTGTGGGAATCTCACTCTTCTTCTCTTTCAGTGGTCACCTGAGACATGGAAATGGGGACATTTAAGTCCATCATTCATGAAGATATTAATATATTTACCCTTCTCCTAACCCTCACAGTGCTTTAAATTTCCCTACCTTTCTGGTTTAGAACCTAGCGATAACAAGATTACTCACAAATTACATTGCTACTTTCTTCGCGAAAATTCATCTGCCTGCATACTCATCACTTGAGAGTGATATGCGGTATGTGTTTGTGCTTGAATACTGTTTACTTTAAAACTCCTGCTGGGGTAGCTCTGCTGCTCCCTTCGTCCTCGTCCTCGTCCAGCTTTCTGGCTTCTCCATCTAAACAAGCTGCTACAACTCGGCCCTGGTCTGCCCTGTCCAACTGCGGCCCTGAAGGCACCGCGAGGATGGAGAGCGCGAGCCCCCAGGCCCCTGAGGCCTAGCCACGCGGGACACGCAGCAGCGGAGTGTCAGGATGGACCCAAGTGGGCACATCCAGTCGGGCCTCCCTCGGATTGTAAACGGTCCTCTTCTCCCCCCTCAACACCTGCCCGGGGCCCTGCGGGTCCTGCCCCGGGGGCTATGGGGTCTCCCCTATCCCCGCCTGGATCCCGTTCCCAGGACCTTCAGGCCAGTCCGGAGAGTGGGACTTGCAGCTGTGCTCTCTGGGCCCCCGGGAAGAGTCAATGACCCTGTTCAGCTTCCAAATAAAACAGAGAAAGGGGAGCTCCTTACAACGGGCTGTAGCGGGGCGGGGGGCGGGGGGGCCCGCCGCGGCTTCCCGGGCGCACAGCAAGGGGCTAACCCGGAGGCTGCCGTGGGGCGCGGGGGCGCGGAGGGCAGGCCCGGGGCGGCGCGTGGCCGAGTCAGGACGCAGACCCGGGGGCGGGGAACCGCGGGGCCCGGGAGGCTGCCGTCGGGCGTGGAGGCCGCGCGAGCAGCGGTCGGCGGCCAGGGCGGGGCGCCACGCGGGGGGCTCGCGATCCCGACCTCCGCGGCCCGGGCACCTCCGGGGGAAGTGCTGCTGCCGCGGCCGGAAGCGCCCCGCCCCCCCGGTGCGGAGGCGGGGCTCGGCGGGCGCTGGCTGCCCCCACCCCCCCCCGCGCCGCGCCCTGGCTGCCCCCGGGTCCTCGACGCCCTGAGACCTTCACGGTTCCTTTTTTTTTTTTTTTTTTTTAATTTATTTATGATAGTCACAGAGAGAGAGAGAGAGAGAGAGAGAGAGAGAGAGAGAGAGGGGCAGAGGGAGAAGCAGGCTCCCTGCACCGGGAGCCCGACGTGGGACTCGATCCCGGGTCTCCAGGATCGCGCCCTGGGCCAAAGGCAGGCGCCAAACCGCTGCGCCACCCAGGGATCCCCCCTTCACGGTTCCTTATTGCGGGTTGTGGTAAAATGCCCAAAACTCAGAATTCACTGTCCTAACCATTTTTTAAAAAGATTTTATTTATTTATTCATGAGAGACCCAGAGAGAGGCGGAGACCCAGGCTGAGGGAGGGGCAGGCTCCATGCAGGGAGCCCGACGCGGGACTCGATTCCGGCACCCTGGGGTCACGCGCTGGGCCGGAGCAGGCGCTCAGCCGCTGAGCCCCCCGGGCCCCCCCCCCCCCGGCAACCCCCTGCAGCGGCACACTGCACTGGCACTAGGTGCGTTCACAGCGTTGGGCACTAAACTCCAAACGTACGTTTCACACCAAATGTGGGGCTTGAACTCAGGACCCTGGGATCAAGAGTTGGATTCCCCGGGCGACTGAGCCACCCGGGCACCCCTAGCCGCCAAACTCTTGATCTTGCAAAAGAGGAACCCTGCACCCATAAAACGACTTCCCACCCCTGGGTCCCCGGCCACCACCACTCCACTTCCGGTCTTTATAATTCAATGCCTCCTAGTAAGTGGGCGCACGTGGTATTGGTCTCTGCGGCTGGCTTAGTTAACTGGGCTTTTTTTAAAAAATATTTTATTTATTTATTCACGAGAAACACACAGAGAGAGGCAGAGACACAAGCAGAGGGAGAAGCAGGCTCCATGCACCGGGAGCCCGACGTGGGACTCGATCCCGGGTCTCCAGGATCGCGCCCTGGGCCAAAGGCAGGCGCCAAACCGCTGAGCCACCCAGGGATTCCCTAGTTTACTAGGCTTAAGTCCTCACGATTCTCTTATGTCCATGCACGTGACAGGACTTTTAAGGTTAACATTCCATTGTAGGGATAAACTACATTTTGCTTCTCCATTCATCCCTTGCAGGACACTTGGATTGCTTCCGCCTTTTGGCTCCTGTGAGTAACGCTGCCACGCACAAGGCTGTGCAAGTATCTCTGCAGGACCCTGCCTTGACTCCTTTTCAGTATTTACCCACAAGTGGAATTGCTGGGTCAAATGGTGACTCTAGTTTTAACTTTTTGAGGACCAGTCACACTGATTTCCAGTGGGGCTGCACCACTTCACGTTCCCACCGACAGCGCACAAGGGACCCCAGTTCTCCGCAGCCTCACCAGCACTTGCTACTCATTATTCACGATACCCGTCCCAGCAGGTGTGAAGTAGTATCTCATCGGGAGTCTGATATGCATTTCCCAAGTGATTAATGATACTAAGCAGCTTCTCATGCGCTTATTGACCATTCAAATATCGTCTTTGGGATCCCTGGGTGGCGCAGCGGTTTGGCGCCTGCCTTTGGCCCAGGGCGCGATCCTGGAGACCCGGTATCGAATCCCACGTCGGGCTCCCGGTGCATGGAGCCTGCTTCTCCCTCTGCCTGTGTCTCTGCCTCTCTCTCTCTCTCTCTGTATGACTATCGTAAATAAAAAAAATTAAAAAAAATATCGTCTTTGGAGAGCTCTTTATTGAAGCCCTTTGTCCATTGTCTTTTCTTTTTAAGATTTTATTTATTTATTCATGAGAGACAGAGAGAGGCAGACACACAGGCAGAGAGAGAAGCAGGCTCCCTGCAGGGAACCCGACGTGGGACTTGATCCCAGGACCCCGGAATCATGCCCTGAGCCGAAAGCAGGTGCTAAACTGCTGAGCCACCCAGGGATCCCCCTTTTGTTCATTTTTGAATTCAGTTTTGCTGTTACCATCTTTAGAAGTCCTTTATATATTCTGGGTATTCATCTTTTTTTTTAAAGATTTTATTTATTTATTTATTTATTTATTTATTTATTTATTTATTTATTTATTTATTTATTTATGAGAGAGAGAGAGAGAGAGAGGCAGAGACACAGGCAGAGGGAGAAGCAGGCTCCATGCAGGGAGCCCGACGTGGGACTCGATCCCGGGTCTCCAGGATCACGCCCTGGACTGAAGGTGGCACTAAACGGCTGAGCCACCCAGGCTGCCCTTCATGTTTTATTAGATAAGTGATTTGCAAGTGTTTTCCTCCCATTCTGTGGATTGCCTTTTAATCTGTTGATAGTATCTTTTGATGCAGTTTTTAATTTTGTTTAAAGATTTAATTAATTAATTATTTAGTTAGTTAGTTAGCTATGACAGAGAGAGAGAGAAAGAGGCAGAGACACAGGCAGAGGGAGAAGCAGGCTCCATGCCAGGAGCCAGATGTGAGACTCAATCCCAGGGCTCCAGGATCACGCCCTAGGCCGAAGGCAGGCGCTAAACCGCTGAGCCACCCAAGGATCCCCAGTTTTTAATTTTGATGAAGCACCATATCTATTTTTACTTCCGTTGCCTATACATTTGGTGTCATATCCAAGAAATCATCACCAGATCCAATGTCGTGAAGCTTTTCCCCTACATTGTCTCCTAGGAGTTTTCTGGCTTTAGCCCTTAAGCTTAGGTCTTTGATTCTCTTTCAGTTAGTTTTTATATATGGGGTTAGGTGAGCACCCAACGTTCTCTCGAACATGGGTGCCTGCCTTTCTCAGCACTATTTGTTGAAAACTATCCTTTCCCTACTGAATGGTCTTGGCACCCTTGGTAAAAATCATCTGACTATATGAAAAAGTTTATTTCTGAGCTTTACCCTCTTCCAATGGTCTCTGTGTCTGTTTATGCTAGTACCTACTGCCAGCAGATTTTATACCCTCGGAAGATGGAGATACCTGGCTCAACAGATTGAGTCCATAATACTGTATGATTCCATTTATATAAAATTGTTAATATGACAAAATTATAGAAGCACAGAGAACATTAATGGTTGCTAGCTGAGGAGGGATTGAAGGTGAAGGGAAGTGAATTATAAAAGGGTAGTGAGAGATCTTCTGGTAAGTGTATCTTCTGTATCTTGATGACGTCAGTGTCACTCTCCTGGTTGTAATGTTGTACTGCAGTCTTCAAGATGCTGCCAGTGGATAAAATTTAAAAAAAAAAAAAAAAGGATCCCTGGGTGGCACAGTGGTTTGGCGCCTGCCTTTGGCCCAGGGCGTGATCCTGGAGACCTGGGATCGAATCCCACATCGGGCTCCCGGTGCATAGAGCCTACTTCTCCCTCTGCCTATGTCTCTGTGCCTCTCTCTCTCTCTGTGTGTGACTATCATAAATAAATAAAATTAAAAAAAAAAAGATGCTGCCAGTGGGGTAGGTGGGGTAAACAGAACACAGAAACTCTGTATTACATCTTATACATGGATGTAAATGTACAATTATCTCAAAAAGTTTAAGAATAGAAATGTGTTGGAGATCCCTGAGTGGCTCAGTGGTTCAGCACCTGCCTTCAGCCCAGGGCATGATCCTGGAGTCCCAGGACTGAGTTCCGTGTCGGGCTCCCGGCATGGAGCCTGCTTCTCCCTCTGCCTGTGCCTCTGCCTCTCTCTCTCTCTCTCTATGCCTATCATGAATAAATAAATAAAACCTTAAAAAAAAATAGAAATGTGACAGTGGAGGATGCCTGAACTAATTAAATCAGCCTGTGCTCCAGTAGGGCTACCCCAGGGACTGTTAAAACTCTCCAGGTGATGCTGAACCATAGCCAGGGCCAATCTGTTGCTCTTGGGGCCTCTTGTTTCCTCTGCCCAGAGCACAACTGTGGCCATCCTGGTACTTGTCAAACATTAAGGAGCTGGGGAGACCTAGCTCACTATGTGAACTCCTCCTAAAGACTGAGTGGGAGACCCCGAGAAGGATGACCTAGGGTGGACAGTGCTGACCCAGGAAGAGCAAGGAGGGTGTGTAGATCCCACACAGAAAGTCCAATGGACCTGGTTGACAGACGAGAACACCTTACTCAGGAGGGCACTGCTCAGGTACGTGGCTTTGGCTCATTCCAAACTTGGTGAGAGGCGGTGGCGTGGTGAGTAACTGGGATCCCAGCAGTCCGGTGGAGGAAGAGACCTCTTAGCCCAAGTCCTGATTAGATGTCCCTATAACCCTGGGCTCTGCAGACACCCAGCCCTGAGCCCTCTTGTCTCACCTGGGACTATGCTCCACCCAACCTCCCTCTCCTGCTACTGCCCCAGCAACTCGGTCCAAAGCACATGTCCACCAATGCTACACACCGGGGTGCTCCCCACACCCCGGGGGAGGACAAGACTTGGCCTTGGTACCACTCAGCCCCACTCACCACCATTCAGAAACTGTAATGGAGGGGTGCCTGGTGGGCTCAGTTGGAGGAGTGAGTGACATTTAATCTTGGGATTGTGAGTTTTGGCCCCACATTGGGGGGTAGAGATTACTTAAAAATTAAATCTTTGGGGGACGTGGTTGGCTCTGTCAGCTAAGTGTCTGCCTTTGGCTCGGGGCATAATTCCAGGGTCCTGGGATTGAGCCCCACATGTGGCTCCCTGCTCGGCAGGGAGCCTGCTTCTCCCTCTCCCGTTCCCCCAGCTTGTGCTGTCTCTCTCTGTGTCAAATAAAGTAAATAAAATCTTTTTTTTAATTATTTTTTTTAAAGGGAGAAAAGAAACTGTAATGGAAAAGACTCCAAATTTGATGAAAACAATAAATCTAAAATCAATAAACAAATCCAAAATCAATAAATCAACAAACAAACAAAATCAATAAATCCCGATCAGGATGAAAACAAAAATATATCAGGCACATCAACCAAATGGCTGAAAGGCACTGATAAAACTTTAGAAGCACCTAGAAGAGAAAAAGACATTATGAACAGGAGAACAAAGGCAGAGATGATTGCAAAATTTTCTTCAGAAATAATGTGAGCCACAAGACAATGGAATATCTTCAAGGTAATGAAAGATAACCTGTTACCCTAAAACTTTATACCCAAGAAAAATATCCTTTGAAACTAAAGACAAAATACAGATATTTTCAGCAGACCAGATCTGAGAGAAACTGTCCTTGGTGTAACAGCAATAAAATAAATGATAAAGCACATCATTCAGGTTGCAGGAAACAAAAATGTAAACTTGGACCAGAAATAGTAATTGTGTGGGTAAATGTAAAAACCTGTAACGTTAAAATTTCATTAAAAGATAATTGTTTAGGGATACCTGGGTGGCTCAGTGGCTAAGGCTGAGTGTCTGCCTTTGGCTCAGGGCGTGACCCCCGGGGTCCTGGGATTGAGTCCCGCATTTGGCTCCCCGCATGGAGCCTGCTTCTCCCTCTGCCTATATCTCTGCCTGTGTCTCCCATGAATAAATAAAAATTAAAAATAAAATAAGGGGATCCTGGGTGGCTCAGCGGTTTAGCGCCTGCCTTTGGCCCAGGGAGTGAACCTGGAGTCCCGGGATCGAGTCCCGTGTCGGGCTCCCTACATGGAGCCTGCTTCTCCCTCTGCCTGTGTCTCTGCCTATGTGTCTCTCATGAATAAATAAATAAAATATCTTAAATAAAATAAACCATATCAATATTAAAAGTAAATATACTAGGGATGCCTGGGTGGCTTAGGGGTTGAGTGTCTGCCTTTGGCTCTGGTTGGTCACGATCCTGGGGTCCAGAGGTAGAGTCTCGAGTCCCACATTGGGTTCCCTGCTGGGAGCGTGCTTCGCCCTCTCTCTCTCTCTCTCTCTCTCTCGTGAACAAGAACTTAAAAAAAAAAAGGACCTAACTGCATCTGTCTCCAAGAAATACACTTTAATTATACTGACATACATAGGTTAAGTAACAATTATATCCTGGAAGCACTAATCATAACACCAAAACAAATGCATTAATATCAGACACAGTGGATTTCAGGTTTTCTAAAAAACACCAGAGGGGCAACTGGGTGGCTCAGTGAGCGTCTGCCTTTGGCTCAGATCATGATCCTGGAGTCCTGGGATCGAGTCCCACAACAGGCTCCCTGCATGGAGCTTGCTTCTCCCTCTGCCTGTCTTTGCCTCTGTGTAATTTAAAAATCTTTAAAAATGTATTTATAAAACCCCCAGAGATAGTCATTAAAACACCAGCAATTCTAAATGTTTAGGTACCCAAAACGAGAGCTGCAAAATGCATAAAAGTTGACATTAAAGGAGGAAAAACTCCATTTTTTAAAAAGATTTTATTTATTCATGAAAGACACACAGAGAGAGAGAGACAGAGGGAGAAGCAGGCTCTGTGCAGGGAGCCCAAAGTGGGACTTGATCCTGGACAGTGAGATCACACCCTGAGCCAAAGGCAGAGGCTCAACTACTGAGCCACCCAGGGGCCCCTTAAACTCCACATTTATAATTGAGGAGTTCAACATTCTCTGTGATAGAAAAGTAGAAAGAAAATCAGGAAAGATACAGGAAACCTGAACAAAACCATCAGACAATGTGACCTAAGCGCCATGCACAGAATACTCACGCAAACAACGGTGTAGCACAAAGGGAACATTTATCAAGATAAGGTACCATCTGGGCCATAAAACAAGTCCTGGATTTAAAAATATTAGTATACAGAGTATGGTGTCCTATTATATAATGGAGTTAAATTAGAAATCAGTAATAAAAATATCTGAAAATTGCCCCAAGTATTTGGAAATTAAACAGACTTCTACATACATAATAGTCAAAGAAAACATCACAAGAAACCAGAAAATACTTTTTCAGGGGCACCTGAGTGGCTCGGTTGGTTACGTGTCTGACTCTTGTTTTCAGCTCAGGTCATGTAAAATGGTACAACCACTATGGAGAATATTTTGGCAATTTATTATAGGTTAAAATCACGCTTATAATCCAGAAATTTAATTCCTAGGCATTAACCCAAGAGAAATAAAGAGGCATGTCCAAATACATATTTTTACACAAATTCTCATAGCAGTTTTATTCATAAGAGCCAAATCTGGAAACCAATTTCTATCAACACAGTGGATGAATAACAAAGGTTTGTCCGTACAACAGAACACTACTCAGCAGAGATACCCAAACACATAACTACTCGGCTGAGTCTTTAAAACATGCCAAAGCAAAAGCCAAGACACACAGAATTACATACTGTATGGGTCCATTTATGTGAGGCCCTACAAGCGACTCTAATCTACACGGACCCAAAGAGGGTACTTGGGACTAGGGTGAGATTAACTGGGAAGGGGCAAAAGGGAATATTATTGGGTGATAAGAATGTTATTTTTCTTTATCCTAATGGTGGTTACACAGATAAATGGTTTCTCAAAACTCTGTACACTTCAAATAGGTGTTTTACTGTATGGAAACTAGATGTCACTGACGTTGATCAAAATGGTCTGGTAATCTCTCTTCTGTATCATTTGAAGCATCTCTAGTAATGAGTTTTTCAGATGTAGTACTGTATGCCCCTGTTTATCACTTACCCCCTGAAGGCTTCTAGTGTTGCTTCAATTTAAAAACTCAAACATGCCCTCACAGGCAAAAAAAAAAAACTGGTACATGTCATTTCAAAACTGGTTGTTTTGGTTCATGTTCAGAAGAAAAAAAAAATCAGATGCAGCAACTCAAATTTGTGTAGATTGTTATCTACTGTGAACTACATCTAAAAAGGTGTATGCTGCACCTCCTGGTATCTGCAGATTCCTCTCCCAGGTCATTCTCTTCTCTAACTGCCACAGCTCTCTCTCAGTTCCAGTGTCACCTCTTCTATGAAGCTGGCCCAGATCCTCCACACAGATCAGTCCTGTTCTTACCTATGTTCCTATGCAATGTGGAACCTCTACTTCAGCACTTAACTCTGTGAGGTGATCTTTGTCTTCCCCATCAAACCCAATGATTCCATCTGTTTCTCACAGTTCAGCCCTGGTCTTCCAGATCAATACATTTTCAGGTAAATGACAAAATGAGCCAGAAAACAGAGGAAGTGACCAGAAGAGATGAAGTCAATCACAGAACTGCTGAGACAGAAAACCTTGAGCGGCACACTGGGACTGGGTGCCCCTTAAGTGGCTTAGAACGATACACAAGCAACCAGGTGAAGACAACACTCCCAAAAAGCAAGTAGTTGGTCATGGGTGAGTTGTGAAGGCATAAATATGAGGTGTGCTAGTCTTCCACTGGGTTACTCGTTACAACTTCTAAGTTACATATAAGCAGAAGACTACAGGGCTGCAAGAGAAGATATTTCCAGTAAACCAGTAAATCATACTCTTACCAAACAACAAAATCCAAAAATTTAAATGATAGCAGTACAGAATGGACAAAGCAAAAGAGGTACCAATTACACATAGACTTGGGGTGTACTTTCTATTGCCTTGCACTGGATACCAGGGACACATAAACCAATCAGCTATGACCAGGTCCTTAAGAAATTAGTAGTGTAATAATGAAAAAGATAGTAGATAAAAACCTAATCTTTATATACGAAAGTAAGCACCAGAACAGAAGTGCTCACTAACAACACAAGCACAGAGGAAGGGCAGCTGGCTGAGCCTGACATGATGCCTGAGATGGGTCCTGATTCATCATGAGGAGTCAACCAGGTGTGGAGCAGAGGGCATTCAAACAAAGAGAAGGAGGCAGGTGCAACTTGGGTAAGTGGGAATGTCAAGCAGTTAGTGTTGCTGCAGCGCCAACCATGTGGCAGGTGGTTAAGCCGTGGGAGATGGAACTCCAAGAAGCAAAATGCCTTTGAGAGCTGGACTGGGAGCTGGGAAATTATCCTAAGGACAAGGGGAACCAATTTGTAGTTTGTTTGTTTTTTTTTTCCAATTTGTAGTTTTAAATAACAAACATCTTTCTCCAACCTGCCTTTTGGATAGGTCAAAATTTACCATGTGACATTCTTAAGTACTAAGAATAGATACATAGTTAAGCTTTAAAAAGCATTTTTAACTCGGGTGAATTGTAATTGTGCAATAAAACGTAGAAACCTTCTTTGAGACCTAGCCACCCACCCCCAGCATTGTTCCAGCTCAAAGTCAGCTGTCCAGTCATGTGGCTCTCCTGACTTCACACATTCCTCGTGGAGGACAGCAGCCCAGTGCTGCTGTACAGCAGTGACAGCCCACTCCGAAAGCAGCCCTGTCTAGGACGTTGGAAAACGCTGACACATCTCACTGAGTTGGAGAATAATTATTTTATGTTATCTGTATGCTCCCCCTGACTTGCAGACTTCTCACCCAAATGTATGGGAGTCTTACTCAAGGGAAATCCCTCTTGGTGAACACCTTGATTATTTTTAAAGTTTGGGGTCGAGGTGAAATCTTTCCCATACTGACTACATTCATAGAGTTTCTCTTCAGTATGGATTTTCTGGTGTTGAAGAAAGTTTGACCTCTGAATAAAGCCTTTCCCACAGTAACTACACACATAGGGCTTTTCTCCAGTATGAATAATCTGATGTAGTAGCAGCTTGGAGCTCTGAATGAAAGCTTTTCCACAGTCCTTACATTCAAAGGGCCGATCCCCAGTGTGGATTTTCTGATGTTCAGTGAGATGGGCTTTCTGGAGAAAAGCTTTCCCACATTCCTTACATTCATACACTCTCTCTCCAGTGTGGATTTTCTGGTGTCGAATAAGGTACGAACTCAGAAAGAAAGCTTTCCCACATTCATTACATTCATAGAGTTTCTCTCCAGTGTGAATTCTCTGATGCTGGGTAAAGTTTGATGTTTGGCTGAAGCGCTTCCCACACTCATTGCACACATAAGGCCTTTCCCCAGTATGGATCCTCTGATGCTGAATAAGCTTTGAACTCCGAATAAAGGCTTTCCCACATTCGTTACATTCAAAGGGCCTCTCTCCAGTGTGAATCCTCTGATGTTCAATGAGGTCTGAGCGATGACGGAAGGCCTTCCCACACTCCTTACATTCATACTGTTTCACTTCTGTGTGGATCTGATAATGTCGAATAAGGCTTGAGCTCCTAATGAAGGATTTTCCACACTCATTACACTCATAGGGTCTTTCTCCTGTGTGAATTCTCTGATGGCGAATAAGCAAAGAGCTCTGGCTGAAGCCTTTCCCACATTCCTTGCATTCAAAAGGCCTCTCCCGAGTGTGAACTCGCTGGTGCCGAACCAGGTCAGAGCTGTGATGGAAGGCTCTCCCACACTGCATACATCGGAATGGCTTTCCTCCTGCATGTGCTCTCTGGTGCTCAGCGAGGTCTGCATAGTGAATGAAGTCCTTCCCACACATGTTGCACACATAGAGTCTTTCTCCAGTGTGAGCTCTCTGATGCTCAGCAAGATGGGAGCTCTGGCTGAAGCTTTTCCCACACTGCTCACATCTGTAATGTTTCTCCCCAGCATGAGAAATCTGATGTCTAACTAGATCGGAATTAAATGTGAAGCTTTTGCCACAAGTCTCACAATGGTGAGCTTCCCCTTCCACAAGATCTCTCTGGAGGAGGAGGAGGTTTGAGCTCAGAACGGGGCCTTCTCCTGATTTATTGCTCGCTCGAGCCGCATCTCCTGCTTGGATTTTCCAATGGGTAACAGTCACTCCCCTGAAACTGCCCTCCTGAGGGGAGCAGCTCCGCAGATTCTGCCTTTCGGGGTTTCCCAAAAGTCCCCCTAATCTGGGTTCAGGGAATGCCCCAGACTCAGAGGCAGGGGGCTCCATCATTGTGAGTGTTTCTGAAATGGTTTTAGGCAAATTTCCATCCTCAGAAATTCAGGCTCCAGAGTCACCTTCTTGTCACAAGTTCCTAGGTTAGAACCTGAAATAAAGGAGATTAAGATCATTTTTTCCCTTCATCAACAGACACGAATCTGCTGGAACAGGCTGGGGATAAAACACATCCAGAGTGTGGAGAGAGGAGCGTTTCCTCTGTCCACAGTCTTTACCCCAGTATGCATCTCAGCCACCTACCTCACCCACTTCAGAAGGCTTCTCTGAGGCTCAACCTCAAACACCCACATCCAGGGAAAGAGTGGCTTGATGGCAGATGGAGAGGGATGTGGCTTGGACTCTATTATAAAATTAACACATATTTCCAAAGAAACACAAATGTACTGCTCTTGCCACCTCTTCATTGTCCTCCTTCCCTTTTACCCAGCTTAGATCCCACGTTCTATGGTACTATGTTTATTTCTGGTTATATATTATAACCATCCTAACTAACTCCAGCCCTTCCTGTATCATCCCTGCATTGGAAAACCCCAAGTTGGGGTAAATTTCACTTGCTTCTGATTCTGTTTCTGCATCCATGCCAACTGAGCTCTACACTTACAACCCCTTGACTAATGGGGCCCTGAGAACTACCAGCAATCTCTATACTTTCCTTATTCTTCTACATGACCACCCTGCTTGTCTTCTCTTTTCAAATGTCCAACACTCCCTCCTTCCTCTCAGCGGATGCTCTTGCTTATCTCAATGAGAAGACAGAAGCAATGAGATGAGAATGTCGTTTTTTTCCTACCCCATCTACCAACCTATCTGTCCATAGGCAGGCCATGCCCTCCCTCCTTATACGGGTTACACTGCCCTTGATCTAATCTAAGGTGAACATCACCTGGGCACTAACACTCACCTCTCTCATCCACTCAACAGCACCAAACCTCTCTTTAACAAGTCTAAAGCTGGAATGTTCATAGTAGCACTATTCATAACCACCAAAATAAACAATAGAGGGATGGGCATATTGAAGAGTACTTCTACCAAGGAGTAACACATAGCAATGAAGAACCGCAACACACAAAAAGCAAAGATGAGTCTCGCAGATGTAGTATTCAGCAGGAGCTAGGCACAAAAGAGTTTATGTTGTATGATTCTGTTTACATCAAGTTAAAAAACAGACAAAAGCAATCCATCCATGGTGGAAGAACTGAAACACTGCTGTCCTTTAGGGAGAAGATAAGGACTGGTGGAGGGTGCAGGGTCACTAGGGTACTGGTTATCTACATGGCACTTTGAGCCACACCGGTGTGTCACTGTGGAAAAGCTTGTTTGGTCAGGGGTTATTTAACCCAACAACTGCTGGAGTTCTGGGCCCAGCTCTGCACCGCACTGGGAACCACCTGCAGGCAGGACTCTGCCTCCCCGCAAGGTCATGCCCCTCCCCCTGACAGCCCACTCTTGGCAGGATGACACACCACAAACACAGCAGCAAAAAACAGCACATGTGTCATCTTACAGCCAAATGTGACTGGGACCCCTGTCCAGGGTCACAAAAGGTGTCAGCCAGGCTAAGGGCACATCTGGAAACCTGTTTCTAAACTCATTCAGATGTCAGTAGAAATCAGTTCCCTTCAACCATAGGACTGTCCCTGAGTCCTTGCCAGCTGTCAGTTAGAAGCTGCTCTTGGCTCCTAGGGACACTTCTAACACTAGAAACAATGCAGAGAACCCATCTCTGACTTTTCTTCTGCCACCAGCTGCAGAAGGCTGTTTTCCAAGGACATGCATCATTAGGTCAGCCCACCTGGAGAGCTTCACGCCACCTTATGTCAGCTGACTTGGGACCTTAATTACAGCTGCAAAACCCCTCCACAGAAGCTGGGAGGAAGTGTGTGTACCTGAGGGGCTAGGAATCTCAGAGGGCCATCTCAGATGCCTACCATGGCCAATACCTGGCCAATCACAGGAATGCAGAGTGCCTTGGGGGGAACTCAAGTGTTATCCCGACCCCAGAGCTCCACTGGGATTGGTCGCAGCCTCAGTTTTGGCCCCACAGACAAATAAGGCCTTCTTTACAGATGTATCACCTGAAAACTCTACACAGCTGAGTCTACTTCCAGGGAGCTCCATCCAAGATGACCTCAATCACTCCTTGCTCCAAATCTGCACCAGTAGGGAAGAGATCTTGCTGTGTAGCCCCATGAAGGGATGCCCTCCAGACTTGTTTCCAACGTGGCCATCAAGGAAAAGGATCTGCCTCTGAGGGCAAAGCTGGGGGCGAGGTGGAGCAGCAATGGGAGCAGAAGCAGAGGGAGTGACTGGGTAACACATGCTCTGTGGTCCCGGCAGGGCATCATTTCAACATACTTTTATGTGAGACATAACTGGCATAAAGTGCACATATCTTGATAAACTTGTGACATCTGTTTAACCATCACAGGCCAACACAGAACATTTCTGTCACCAAAAAGGGTCTCCTTCCAAGGGCAACCACCTCTTTTATAATAGATGAATTCTGCTCATTAAAAAAAAAAATTCAATTAGAGGCGCCTTGCTGGCTCAGTCAGCAGAGTGTGTGGCTCTTGAGGTTTGTGAATTCAAGCCCCACAATTAGGCGTAGAGCTTACTTAAGAAATTTTTAAATAAAAAATTTAATTTAAACGGAATTATACAGGTTTCTGTGTCTGCTTTTTATTTATCACCTACTCATTTTTAAAAAAAAGATTTATTTATTTATTTGAGAGAAAAAGTGTGCATTGCACACACAGGAGGAGGAGCAGAGGGGGAAGGAGAAGGAGATTCCCAAACTCCATGTTGATCTCACAACCCTGAGATCAGGACTTGAGCCAAAACCAAGTCAGAGGCTTAACCAACTAAGTCGCCCATGTGCCCCAATGTGTACCTACTTTTTGTTGAATTATAACACATACCATAATATTCACCATCCTAAAGTGCTCAATCCAGTGTTTTTCCAAGTATTCCTAAGATTGCAAAACCATCATGACTATTTACTTCCAGAACATTTTCATCACTCCCCCAAATATATATCTGCTTAAACTCAGCATCCCACCTGTGAAAGTCCCCCATGCTGCAGGCACCAGCAGCTCATCCTTTTTGCTGATGCACAGCACACCACTGCATGAATAGGTCATGATTTATTTTTCACGAACAACTAAGTTGTCTGTGGTTTGGGGTGTTAATTAAAGCTGCCTGAAACATTCCTGTACTTGTCTTTTGGTAGATGGGGGTCCTCGTTTCTGCTGGGTGTATACCTGCAAGTGACTGCTTTGCTTTAGCAGCCAGCTGGTGGGGATACTTTTGCAAATTCCACTGGGAACCAGTGCAGCTGTGGACAGTGATTCTTCCCCTTGAGTGCGTGTGTCCATACAGTCGTGCTGCTTTAGGTGAGTGTTGGAGACAGCGTCAGGGAGGCCAGGGCTTGTATGAGTTTAGAGTATGACTGTGTGAAACTGATGGGCACCTGGTGAAGAAAGCCACATCCCATCCTCGGGGCCACAGGATGTGGGGCAGAATGGCCAGTGGGGTAAACTGTGGCTGACTGAAGACTGCCCAGCATCTCTGCTCCCTCTGAGTGACAGAAACTCCACCTAACAATTGAGCGGGCACATGGACACCTAGCCTAGAGCCCCCTGAAGTTAGGTGTGACTCTGTGACTGGAATCCAGCCAATGAGACGGGAATGTAATGGATGCATGTGCAGGGCCCTTATCTCCACACCGCCTCTCCCTCCCCATGGTGACACGCTGACGAGGCAAAGCAGCCAGGCTCCCATATGGCCTTGAGGGCCAGAGCCAGCTAGTAGACGAAGCAGACTGAGAAATCAAGTTTTTTGTCAGAAACGCTATTTTGGGGATCCCTGGGTGGCGCAGCGGTTTGGCGCCTGCCTTTGGCCCAGGGCGCGATCCTGGAGACCCGGGATCGAATCCCACATCGGGCTCCCGGTGCATGGAGCCTGCTTCTCCCTCTGCCTGTGTCTCTGCCTCTCTCTCTCTCACTGTGTGCCTGTCATAAATAAAATTAAAAAAAAAAAAAAAAGAAACGCTATTTTGAATCTCTGTTATAGCTATTTGAATAATGCTTAAGTAATGCTAACAGGCTGATTACTCAGGCCAATGCTCCCAGGGATGAGAAAGAAACTGAACCCACACACCAGTTACTAGCAGTAAGGACGAGGAACTGAGCACGAGTGTACTGCAGGCATTTCTGAACGTATGAGATCTGCTTGCTAATTCATCTGCCAACACAACCCCCTGGAGCAGCGACACAGAACAGATAAGACCTGCCTCCTGGCATTCACTAGGATGTGAATTTTTTTTTTTTTTTGAGTTAAAGGCTCAATAACTTGATTTTTTTTAAAAAAAAATCTTTCTCCTGCTTATAAATATTACCTTAGTTATTTTTATCAAGCTATAAGGTAAATTATGCCAATTGAGAAAACAGAGACAACAGTAAAACTGAAAAAACAAAAATAAAATGATCTTTTCCTCCACCACTAAGATTATCGGTGAACATTTTCTTCCGGTATACTTCCTGCACTAGTATTTTTATGAAATCAGGACTATACCACTCAGTTTTGCATCCTGTGTTACTTTTTGTATCTAATGCTCACCAATTACAAACATAACATGCCCAATGTAAAAATATTTCAAATAATAAAGAAGTATAGACAATATAGACAAAATTTAGACAATGAGAATCCCCACCAATTCAACAGATTACTACAGTTAGCTGTTTCCTCATACGTATTCATTTACACTTTGCTTGAACGAATACAATTATACACATACATTTACTTACATACAATTTTCAAAAACAAAAATGGGATCACAGTACACTCATCCATCTGCAACCTTTCCCCCATTTATAATATATCCTGGCATTCCTCAAGTTTACCCACACAGATGTTACCTGGTTCTCTGGACGCCCTCCCCATATGTAGTCACGGACTCCCTATTCGGGTTAGACACTGGAAGAACATCCCTGCGCCTCTGGTGTCAAGAGGAGGAATGTTCCCTGCCCATTTACCTGACCCTTCCTCCTCCCCAGGGACGGAAGGCGAGAGCAGAATGAAAAGTCTGGGCAAATCACAGGCAAACAGCACAGAGCCTCCTCAGAGGGGCGCTCACTCTCCACGTCTACACTCGCAGGCTCAGTGGGCAGGCCCCCGTGGGGCTGCAGCAACGCGTGCTTCGTGTGGGCAGGCGCCGGAGCTGGTTTGAGGCTCTGACCCAGCTTCTGCCCAGAAGTGAGGCAGCAGTTGGCCTGTGTGCCTCACTGCTTCGAAGCTCAGGAGAGGGGGATGCTAGTTATTAAGGCCCCTCGAACCCCACCAGGCACCGGGCTGAGCGACGGACCCCACCATCTCCGGCACTCCTCTAAACCTCCTAAGGCGGGTGTTCACGCCATTACTTACTCTACAGACGAAACAGAGGCTAAGAGAGACAGTTCCCCAAGGTCACTAGACTAGTGATTTGAACTAAGGTTCAAAGCCAGGTCTACCTCCAGTGCCCATTTCCCCATTGTGGAAGATTTTTTTTCCCTTTCCAAGTGTCACCTGTCACTTTTACAGGATCCTATGGGGTAAGTACTATAAAACTAAGCTGATAATTTAAACCTTATTTTTCTTAATTTAAAAGGGGGTGGGATGCTGGGTTTTGTTTCGGAAATAATATCTTCTGATTTTTATGTTTAAAGGGCTGTTAAATAAGTAAGTAAGTAAGTAAGTAAGTAAGTAAATAAATAAATAAATAAATAAATAAATAAATGGCTGTTGAGGGGCACCTGGGTGGCTCAGTGGTGAGCGTCCACCTTCGGCTCAGGGCGTGATCCTGGGGTCCTGGGATCGAGTCCTGCATCGGGCTCCCTGAGGGAAGCCTGCTTCTCCCTCTACCTTTGACTTTGTCTCTTTCTCTGTGTCTCTCATGAATACATAAAATCTTAATAGTAATAAATAATAATAAAAGGACTGTTGTACTCCCTGCAAACAAGCTTGCGTGCGTCTACAAGAAAACAGCTTAAAAGTTATGTGTTTTGGGGCACCTGGTGGCTCAGTGAAGCATTTGCCTTTGGCTCAGGTCACGATCCCAGTGTCCTGGGATTGAGCCCCACATTGGGCTTCTTGCTCAGGGGGAGCCCACTGCTCCATCTCTGATTGCTGCTCCCCCTGCTTATGCTTTCTCTGTCAAGTAAATAAAAAATTTTTTTAAATATTTTATTTATTTATTCATGAGAGACACATAGAGAAGCAGAGACAAAGCAGAGGGAGAAGCAGGCTCCATGCAGGGAGCCTGATGCGGCACTCGATCCTGGGACTCAGGATCACGTCCTGGACAAAGGCAGGCGCCCAACCGTTGAGCCACCCAGGTGTCCCCTAAATAAAATCTTAAAAAAAAAAAAAACCCACAATGATGTGTCTTTTAACGAGTTTTCATAATTTCCTCCTAACTTTGGAGAGTTACAGCTTGCTTTGAATAACATTTATCTGAAAATCAGCCATCTGTCAGTTTCTGCTTAGCTGTTTTTTTTGTTTTTTTCTTTGGTGAATTCAAGCAAAATTAAACTGATACTCTTTCATTTAAAGAAGCCTGAAGTGAACAAAAGGAAATAAAAATACACCACATTTGTGATCCCACAACATACTGAGCTACCATGGCCCACACCTTTCTCTTGTAACACCGAATTTGCTGGATGAGATATAACATGAAATTGTGTAAACACACAGTTGATGTTGAGAAAGTTGGGGCGATTCCTGATGCTGGAAATGAAGTGCGATCTTAACCTGGAGTGGAACCCTGTGAGCTTTGGGATGGCAAGGGGGGGGGGAGCACCAAATGCAGGCACTAGGAGCTTTTTCTTATGTGCACTGGTAACGGGGTATGCAGCCCTGGATGCACAGGTAGGTCCCGGTCACTGTCTGCGGCTTACAGCCTCGAGAAAAGCAGCAGGAAGGTTTCTGAGCTTCACGCTTGGGAATAACCAGAGCGAGGGGCACGAGGGTGAGACAGAACCCAGAGCTCCGGGAGAATCTGCACCTCTGCGCCCACCCTGCCTCCATCTTCAACCTGCGCTCCTGCCACAGCAAGTGTGAAGGGAACCGAGAAGCTGGTGTGTGCCGGCCACTAGGCAGGGTATCTCGTTTCCCATTTTCTCATGTTCTCACAATTATCCCGGTTCAGGGAGGTGACCTGCTTAAAGTCAAACCAGCTGCTGGGTGCTTCTCTTCCTCCCTGTCCCACCCCATGGCACTTTGGTTCCTGCTCTCAGGGCTCTAAGGATCCCCACGGCCTTCTCCTCTCCTGAGAAGTCCAGTGTCACCTACCGGGACCCGAGGCCACATGGACACGCCTGACAGCTCCCTGAGCCGTTTCCATGGCACTGCCCTGTTGGGTCCGCTGTCCCCCGGACCACCCCTTCCTCTGGCTCATGAGGGCCTTCAGCTCTGGCCTCTGCCCACATCATCCCCAAAGCCCTTTCCAGGAGTCAGGAATCCATCGCCATCACTGCAGGAGAGGCTGGAGCGGGGTGTGCAGGCTTGTGAAAAACCACAGCGGGCGCTGCCCCTAAGTCCTCTGTCTCTGCCTCAAGGGAGCTACTGCGGTCACTGCTGGCGATCACACACTGTGGGGATGCTACGTTTCTAACAGGGTCAAAGGTTCCATCTCTGCGACCAGGGCGCAAGGTACCAGCTGAAGCCATCTCAGATCCTCGGTGGGCAAAAGACACGTCGCTCGTCGGGCCCGGGCTCCGGGGAAGAGACGCGCTGCAGGGCGGTGAGGAGCCCGCGGCCCGCCTGCAAGCCGGCCTCCAGCCAACAGCCAGGGGACCGCAGGCCCGGGCCCGACTGCGGCGGACGCAGCCCAGCAGGGCACGGCGGGGGGTGGGGGGGCGTCGGAAAGCGCCGGGCGGCGCAGCCCGAGGTCTGGAGGGAGAGCCATGCCTCTGGCTCCCGCACCGCGCCCGCACCCGCATGCGGGCATCGGGCTGGCTCTGCCCCTGCGCCCGCGCCACGGGCTCCAACCCGGCCCCTCGGCCCGCACCTTCGGGAGCGCTCCCCGGCTGCCGATCCAGGAGGCGGGCCCGCAGCGGCCGGGACCCCCAGGGGGAGGAGGTGCGGGCCGGGCCGCGCCCACGGCCCCCGCCCGCCCGGGCCCGACACCAGCCACTCACCCACACGCCCGCGGCGAAGCCACCGCCGCCGACAAAGCCCATACGGCCGCCCGCACGCCGCGGCCGGAAGTCGGCCGAGGCCCCGCCCCGAGCGCTTCCGGGACCGCTCTAGGCGCCCGGCGCCGGCGGCCTCTCGGTGGTGCGGACTTCCGCCCGCGAGGCCCGCCCCGAGCGCCCGCGGCTCCGGTGCGGCCGGTCCCCGAGCGTCTGCGCGCGCCCGGGCTTCGGTCTCCGGGGCGCTGCGGCGCGGCCGGCGGGGACTCTCTGAGCGGCTCGCGGCCCTGCGGGCTGCCCGGGGCCCCACGGCGCCGCGGAAGGGCCTGGACCGCGAGCTCGCGGAGGCAGCGAGCGGCCGGCCGGCCCCCCGAGGCCACGCTGTCGCTCTGGCGCTGGGGCGGGTCCTGGGGTGCGGGAGGACCGCTCCTGCGTCCCGCCTGCAGGGGGCGCTCAGGGCCCTCCGGAGGCACCGGAGCCCTGGTCGCGGACGGAGATCTTTGGGGGGAGCCTGCGGAGCGCGGGGAGCCGTGGGCCTGTCGTCTCCTCGCGCAGCTGGCCGTGTCCAGCCCTCCGCGTGACCTCGAACGTGCCGTCCCGTGCGTCTGCGCTGCTGTCTGCCCCCGCGGGAGCGAGCGCTGCTTGGTTTCGCAGTGTCCTGCCGCGGATGGTGCAGGAGAGCCGGTCAGGGTGCGGCAGGCCTCCCAGGTCCTGGCGGCGATGCCCAGAGACGGGATCAAACGTGCACGTTGCCTGCTCGGCTTTGCGGTGACCGCCGTGACTTACACTCCGTCTCCGTGGCCGATAGAATTGGCCTCCCCACCTCTTCACCCACACTTAGAGCCTGACTTTCTGGATTTTGCCAATCCAAGGGGGAAAGGCAGTAGCCTGGTTCTTACCAAATTCAGGGAGATGTGATTTAGAAACAAACGCAGTTGGTTTTTAATAAATACGTGTGACAAGTAGCTTTGCTCGATGTATCCTCCTGGGTGAGCTCCCCAGTCCAGACGGAAGGTCACCGTCCGACCCAAGCGGTGCCCTAGGCTCCTCCCGAGCCCTCCAGCTGCTCCACTGAGCACCTCTGCTTCCTAATCAGGCCAAACCTCCATGTTTATTAGTCACTTGGACTTCTTAAGTCGGCCTGAAATGACCTTGGCTCCCTTTTCCACTGGCTGATTGTCTTTCCTTGTGATCTGGTGGAGGTTTTTAGTCTGGATACAAATCGTTTGCCAGTTACGTATGTTGCCAATGTCTTGCCTTTATCTGCTCACGAGTTACCCGCGCCCTACGCGCCCTCCACTATTGCTGGGAATTCAGGCCTGACTTTCCCTTTGTGACATGTGCTCTGTTCCTCCCTGCGTCTCAGGACCCTGACGATGCTGTCTTTTCTCTGAGAGGCTTAACATTTTTACTCTCAATGCTTATAGGTCTTGCAACCATCTGGAATATACCTCTGGATACATGAGATGTTGGAATCTGGATACAATGAGCCAATATCTCCGTGAAATGAGTTACACAACTACCATTTCACACACTGCCTTGTCGTAGAAAAGTGTCTGGAGAAGCACTGTGTTGAAAAGAAACGAGTGTTGCAGCCATAGTGAGTGGAGGTGTGTGTGGGTGAACTATGAAGTGCTGGGTCGTGATATATAGGGAGTTACACACAATGCAATTACACATATCAGGTGTGGTCCACAGGGGAGGACTGCAAAGAAACACCCACACATCCTTATTTAAGACTTAGGGGCAGGGATCCCTGGGTGGCGCAGCAGTTTGGCGCTTGCCTTTGGCCCAGGGCGCGATCCTGGAGACTCGGGATCGAATCCCACGTCGGGCTCCCGGTGCATGGAGCCTGCTTCTCCCTCTGCCTGTGTCTCTGCCTCTCTCTCTCTCTCTCTCTCTCTCTCTCTCTCGCTTGCTCTCTGTGTGACTATCATAAATAAATAATTTTAAAAAAATTAAAAAAAAAAAAAAAAAGACTTAGGGGCAGCCTTGGTGGCTCAGTGGTTTAGCCCGCCGTCAGCCCAGGGTGTGATCTTGGAGACTCAGGATCGAGTCCCATGTCGGGTTCCCTGCATGGAGCCTGCTTCTCCCTCGCCTGCGTCTGTGCCTCTCAATCTCTCTCTGTGTCTCTCATGAGTAAATAAAATCTTAAAAAAAAAAAAAAAAAAAAGACTTCGGCTCCTGGCTGGCATAGTCGGCAGAGTATGGGCCTTGATCTTGGTAATGAGTTCTAGCTCCACATTGGTGGTAGTGAGTATTTAAAATAAAAAAGCGGGGGGAATCCCTGGGTGGTTCAATGGTTGAGTGTCTGCCTTCGGCCTAGGGCGTGATCCTGGAGCCCCGGGATTGAGTCTCACATCTGGCTCCCGACATGGAGCCTGCTTCTCCCTCTGCCTGTGTCTCTGCCTCTCTCTCTCTCTCTCTCTCTGTGTGTGTGTCTCTCATGAATAAATAAATAAAGTCTTTTTTTAAAAAAGAAAGTCTTAGAAATAGGATGCTGTTGAAACTAAGGAGTCAGAACAGAGCTGGACCTCTCCCAGCCTTTGGCACAGGCCTGGGGCTGCAGCCATAGAGCAGGGCTGCTCAGTGGGAGCCCGGGCTCCTGGTGGAGGACAGGGAGGCTGCCTGGCAAGGAGCAGAGGCATCAGATCTGCAGGCCTCAAGAGGTGCACCGCCACCCAGCACGGGCCCCTGGCAATCTGCGTGTGCTTCATCTCAAGCCTACCAAAAAATTGCTGGGGTTGCATGGTTTCTCTTACACGCCTGCCTCCTGGGAAGGACTCTGGAGAGGGTGCCCAGGGATCTGTCACTGTGGGAGGCCACCTGCCTTTACCCACCAGGCTCCTGCAGGAGTTAACACATGTGAACCCCTGGAGAGAGACTAGCTCTCTGATGCTTGAACTTGGTTGCAGAGAGCTGTTGCCATAAGAACTTAGTGCCAGATGACAAATGCAGCCCAGGGGGACCAGCTCTCTGAGAAGCACCCTCTGCTTCGCTGCTGGCTGTCTGCCCCCTCCCTGGATTGCACATTGGCCCTCAACCGCACATCTGGGTTGTGAAGACTATTAGCCCAGTCAGAGCAAGGACAAAATCTAACTGGAAGCAAAACAAAATCTAGCAAACAAAATCTAACTGGAGTTGAGGAAGGACAATATTCACAAGGGATGAGGTGCTGGCAGCGTGGGAGGACTCACAAGGAGCTGTTATAATCAGCTGTGTGAAAGGGGCCTTGGGGCCTGAGGATGAATTCCTAACCCTCTTCACCCTCAGCACTGCAGGGAAAGCTTCCTGGAGGAGGAGGCCTCTTAACAGATTCCTGAGGGGAAGGAGGACTGCCTCTCTTAAAACATGGGCAAGATCTGTATGCTTCTAATTACAAAATGCTGATGAAAGACCTAAGAAGACCTAAATAAATGGAGACACATACCACGTTCATGAATTGGAAGCAGTAAAGTTCTCCCAAGCAAAATTAAAAGAGAGAGAGAGACACACACACACCAAGAAACAGACTCTTAATTATAGAGAACACACTGATGGTTACCAGTGGGGAAGTGAGTGGGGGGTTGGGGAAAATAGGGGATGGGGATTAAGGAGTGCACTTATCCTGATGAAAAGAAAAAGTCAATTCTCCCAAAATCAATCTAAACGTTTAATGCAATTCATATCCAACTCCCAGAAGGAATTTTAGTAGACACAGATAAACTTATTCTTAAATTTATATGGACAGGACAGGCCCCAGAGTAGCTAAAAATAATACACACATACATACATAATAAATAAATCTTGGAAAAAGAGAATGAGAGAGAGGATCATTGTACCTGATATTAAGACTTACTGTATTGCTACTGTAATCCAGACAGTGTGACACTGGTGAAGGGATAGATACCTAGATCTGTGGAGCAGAATACAGAGCCCGTGTCTGACTGATTTTTGGCAAAGCTACAGAAGCAATTCATTAGAGTTAATAATAATGATGTATTGATACTGGTTCAACATTTACAAAAAAGAAAAAAGAAAAATAGCTAAGCTTGGATTTTTTTTGTTAGACTTTTATCAATATTATTGATAACCGACATTCCATTTCAAATCTGTGGATAGTGCAAATTCAAGAGTAACTTCATTTTCCACTTAAGACCATGATTTGCTCTTTGAGAATCTTCCAATATCCAAATGAAATCTACTTTCTTCAAAGCACTTAGTTAGCATTCCCATCACGTGTCCAAGGCTAGTTTTAAGATCGATGTGATGTGTTTTTCCAAGATGTTTCATCTCTGGGCAGATCCAGAAATACAAATACAAATACAGAAAATACTGTATTTGATCTTTTATTTGTTCTAGAGAATGTCATCATGACCAGCACAATTGAAGTCAGGTCTCCCTGTGACATGATACGTAGCACAAAAAAATGCTTCTGGATTTTGGCCAAAACCTCTGGCTTGTTCACTTTTATCCTCTCCAAACTCCTCAGCACCAGTATCATCTTCTTGCCCTCAATAATACTTTAAATCAATGCCTAAAATTGTATGTTACTTTTCCCCAGTTCTTTCCGTAAGTCAAATGCATATTTCATCTAGACCTACAGATATACAAACGCAAGAGAATATGAATATATTGCAATATATTCCTCAGCTTCCAATGCAAATACTACATTAATTCCTGAGTACTCCCGGAATCGCAGATTGGAACAGGAAGAAAAGCAAGAAGGATCCAATCCATTAATTTATCTTTTTCCTAACCTAAGTGCCTCCACCACTCAACCTCCCCTTGCACAACCCACAGACTTGCATGGTCTTTAAAAAGCTCTGTTAAGGGAATGAAAAGACAAGCTCCAGAAATAGCTCCCAGAAATGGGAGAAAAACTTGCAAATTACATATCCAACAAAATTTATATCCAGAATATATGAAAAATTCTCCAAAGAAAATAGTTTATTTAGAACACAAACAAAAGATCTGAACAGACATGTTACCAAAAATAGAGAAAGATGGCAAATAAGCACATGGAAAGATGCTCGCTGTTGTACTGCCGTTAGCCATGAGGAAAATGCAAATTACACCCACGATGAGGCGTCTCTCAGAATACATGTCCCAGAACGGCTAAAATAAAAAACAGTGACAGCACCAAATGCTGCTGAGGAAGTGGGTCACTCCTACATTGCTGGAAAGGCAGGAGGCAGTTTCTTACTAAGTTAAACATATACTTGTCATCAAAAGCCCTGCAATTGCATTTCCTGGGTATTTATCCTACAGAAAGAAGAATATCTGGGATCCCTGGGTGGCTCAGCAGTGGAGCGTCTGCCTTTGGCTCAGGGCGTGACCCCAGGGTCCTGGGATCGAGTCCTGCGTCAGCTCCCCGCAGGGAGCCTGCTTCTCCCTCTGCCTGTGTCTCTGCCTCTCTCTGTGCGTCTCTCATGAATAAGTAAATAAAATATTTTTTTAAAAAAAGAAAGAAGAGGGGATCCCTGGGTGGCGCAGCGGTTTGGCGCCTGCCTTTGGCCCAGGGCGCGATCCTGGCGACCCGGGATCGAATCCCACGTCGGGCTCCCGATGCATGTAGCCTGCTTCTCCCTCTGCCTGTGTCTCTGCCCCCCTCTCTCTCTCTCTGTGACTATCATAAATAAAAAATAAATAAATAAAAAATCTTATATGAACCAAATCATCTTTTTAAAAAAAAAAAAGAAAGAAGAATTTATGGTCACCAAAAGCCTCCACCTAAATGTGTTAGCAGCTTTGTGTACAATTGCCCCAAACTGGAAACAACCCCAATATCCTTGAGCAGGTGAATGAATACACGGGGTCCCTCCACACCTCGGGGGACAGCACACTTGAGCCTGTGCTGCCATTGTGGGGGGGCTGTGGGCCCTCTACCCCCAAAAAGCCGGTCCCCAAAGGCTGCATGTATATGGTTCCATTTGTAGGACATTCTTGACAAGAGGACACCGTCGTGATGGAGACCCAGGGTGTGGGGTGTGTGTGCAGGACAGGCCCTCCCTGTGGTGCAGCAGGACTGTGTCCCGGGGCTGGTGGTGGTTACAAGAATCCGTGTATGTGACAACCTTTCAAAAACTATACTCCCCCTTCCCCAACAGCAGGGATGCCTGGGAGACTCTGCGGTTGGGCATCTGCCTTGGGCTCAGGGTGTGACCCCGGAGTCCCGGGATCGAGGCCCACATCAGGCTCCCTGCAGGGATCCTGCTTCTCCCTCTGCCTGTGTCTCTGCCTCTCTCTGTGTGTCTCTCATGAATAAATAAATAAAATCTTTTAAAAATTAAAAAAATAAAAAACAGAAAAAATTAAAAAATAAAGCAGTGCTTCTCAAAATAGTTTTTGAAAAAAGAAATCACAAATAACATTTTTTTTTTGGTTAAGGATAAAAACCTCCCACTCTGACTATTGTGAATAATGCTGCTATGAACATGGTGTACAGATATGTGTTTCAGTTCGTGCTCTCAGTTATTGCGGTGCATACCCAGAAGTGGGATAGGAGCAGCAGCACCACATCACAGCCCCATCAGCAGGGCGCCAGGGCTCTGAATGTCCACATCCTTGTCAACACTTGTGTTTTCTGTGTTTTTGACACTTGCTATCGTAAATGGCATGAGGTGGACATGCATGGTTTTTGAAAGAAATAAAAACTGTGGTAAGTAATTGCTTTGTGTTACTCAGTAGTTCTCTACTCCACGCTCCCTCATTCCTTGAAGCAGACTCTTCCATAAAATAAATGCTGAGAGAGCACCTGGGTGGCTTAGTGGTTGAGTGTCTGCCTTTGGCTCAGGTCGTGATCCTGGGGTCCTGGGATCAAGTCCCACATTGAGCTCCCTGCATGGAGCCTGCTTCTCCCTCTGCCTGTGTCTCTGCCTCTCTCTCTGTGTCTCTCATGAATAAATAAAGTCTTTAAAAAGGGGGGGGGGGGCAGCTCGGGTGGCCCAGCGGTTTAGCGCCACCTTCAGCCCAGGGCGTGATCCTGGAGACCCAGAATCGAGTCCTGCGCCAGGCTCCGTGCAAGGGAGCCTCTGCCTGGGTCTCTGCCTCTCTCTCCCTCTGCCTGGGTCTCTGCCTCTCTCTGCCTGGGTCTCTGCCTGGGTCTCTGCCTCTTGCCTGGGTCTCTGCCTCTCCCTCTGCCTCGGTCTCTGACTCTCTCTCTCTCATGAATAAATAGATAAAATCTTAAAAAAAAAAAAGTGAAGAAGCCAGAACGTAGGCTGGAAAACTAGATGTATTATTTGTGTCATTTGTTGAACATTTCATCTGTGCCTGAGATGTGGCCTCGGTTGCCCTGACCAATCATGTTCCTTAAAACAACTCAAAATCACATAGTATGTTCCTTGATTTGGCCCAGAGATACAACATCTTGATGACATATGGGTCAGTCTTGACCTTGAATGCCTCCCCGCCTAGGACACAGCCTGCGAACAGTGACTACACAGTACAAAAGGAACGAGGGTCATGGCAGAGCAGATGTGGAAGTCCCACAGGGAGAACGCAGACAGCAGGTGCTCACCAGCAGAACCCATGCTCTTTCCTAGAAGAGATCAATTTTGGAGTGAGGGGCCCCCGGCTGTTTGAGATGAACTCTTACTGGTCTTATATGATGTTTATAAAGCTTTCCAAACCCCAAAGAGAGATAAGATGGATAATTCCATTTTCAAAGGGATTTTTAAATAGATTTATTTAATTTTACAATGTTTTTCTAAACTGACAGAAACAGCACGTGAATCACAAAAGAGTAACATTTCAATATGTGAGGTTGAAACAAGGAGTGACAAAATGTTTATGTGACCATGAAGAAGAAAATTCTCACAAAAAGGGATCCCTGGGTGGCGCAGCGGTTTGGCACCTGCCTTTGGCCCAGGGCACGATCCTGGAGACCCGGGATCGAGTCCCACGTTGGGCTCCCGATGCATGGAGCCTGCTTCTCCCTCTGCTTGTGTCTCTGCCTCTCTCTCTCTCTGTGAATATCATAAATAAATAAAAATTTAAAAAAATAAATTCTCACAAAAAATAAGCCCAAATGTACCCCTGCACCCCAAAGTTTACAGCAGCAATGCCCACAAGCACCAAACTAGGGAACGAGCCCAGATGTCCATCAACAGATGATGATAGAGAAGATGTGATCTGTATATACAACAGAATATTACTCGGTTATTACAAAGAATGAGATCTTAGCCATTTGCAAAGATGTGGATGGAACTAGAGGGTATTACGTTAAGCAAAATAAGTCAATCAGGGAAACAATTACATACAATCTCACATTGATATGTGGAAATTAAGAAACAAAGCAGGGCATCATGGGGGAAAGGAGGAAAAAATAAAACAAGATGATGTCAGAAAGGGAGACAAACCGTAAGAGACACTGAATCCTGGGGAACTGAGGGTTTCTGGAGGGGATGGGGGGACGGGGTGAGGGGGTGACGGGCACTAAGGAGGGCACTTGATGGGATGAGCACTGGGTGCTGTGTGCAGCTCATGAATCACTGACCTCTACCTCTGAAACTAATGATACATTACATGGTAACTAATTGAATTTAAATTTAAAAATAAAAAAATTTTTTAAAGCCCAAATGTCAGGCAGCCCCGGTGGCGCAGCAGTTTTGGCGCTGCCTGCAGCCTGGGGTGTGATCCTGGAGACCCAGGATCGAGTCCCGTGTCGGGCTCCCTGCGTGGAGCCTGCTTCTCCCTCTGCCTCTCTCTCTCTCTCTCTCTCTGAATAAACAAATAAAATCTAAAAAAAAAAAAAAAAAAAAAAAGCCCAAATGTCATTTTCATTAAAATTATCTTCTGGGGACGACTGGGTGGCTCAGGGGTTGAGCGTCTGCCTTCGGCCCAGGGCGTGATCCCGGGGTCCTGGGATCGAATCCCACGTCGGGCTCCCGGTGCATGGAGCCTGCTTCTCCCTCTGCCTGTGTCTCTGCCTCTCTCTCTCTCTCTCTGTGTGACTATCATAAAAAAAAAAAAAAAAAAAAAAAAAATCCACGGTTGCATTTATTTAGAGGGCAGGCCGGTCACCAGGGGGCGCCCAAGGGACAGGGCAGGGCTGTCACCCGGGCGCCAGGAGCACCCTCCGAGGGGGGCGCCGGCTGCGGCCAGCCCCTCGGTCCCAGCTCTCCTGCCGCTCTCCCGTCCTGAGGCTGCGGAGCCCCAGCGCCGCGCGGCCTCCCCTCTGCCACCGCCCACCGCCCACAGTCCCCCGACGAGAGAACCAGGTCTCCGCCCCGCACCTCCCGCAGCGGCCTCGGTACCCGCCCGACGCAGGCGGAGGCAGAGGCGGAGCCGCAAGAACTACATTTCCCAGGGTGCTGCGCGCTCCCGGACTCCACTTCCCAGCAGCGCCCGGGACGCCGCCGAGGACTGCATTTCCCAGAGTGCCGAGGGCGGGCCCGCGGGGCCCTCCGGGTTCCGCCCCCTCCACCTGGCACCCGCGCGCGGCTGGGGAGTCCATCCCCTGCCGGAAGCCGCTCCAGGGCGACGGGCAGGTGGGGCAGGTAGGGCAGGTGGGGCAGGGCGCAGGTGAGGCGGCGCGGGGCGCCTTGGGTCCCCAGGGGAGCCCGGGCCCCGGCCGTTCCGCGGCAGCCGGGGAGTCCTGAGGGGTGTGGGGCTCCGAGGGCGTGGAGGGCCCGGTGGGCAGGGAAGCGGCGTGGGTGCCCGGGCGCCGCGGTGCTTCCTCGCCCCCGGCTGCTGGACTGCTGGCGTGGGGCCTGCCCCCGGGTCAGCGCCAGCCCGCGGGGCCCAGCACATCCTCAGCCCGGGGATGCGGGCCGCGAGGGGTGGCGCCCTGAGGCCTGTCCAGTTCCGAGTCGGAAGCGCCACCTGCCCTGCAGGAGCTCGGCAGGTGAAGGCTCCCCTGGACCAGCTGGCGGCGGCGGGCTCCTGGGCGCTGCCCCTTCCTGGCCTGTGGAGCGTGAGCTCTGGCCTCATGACGGGGGCCAGGAGCCCCCAGCCCCAAGACTGTCTGCCTCCCTACCTGTCAGCCCCAGGTGTGCTGACTGCCCCCCTCCTTGGGCCAGTGTGGGGCCCAGCTGGCACCAGGCTCCCTTGGCTGGGTGGGAGCCCCATGGCTCCTGTGCAGATCCAGGCAGAGGGCTCCCTAGGGAATGGGACCGGGAGGGGGAGCCTCAGCCCAGCTGGGTCTCTGTGGCCCCCAGCAGGCTCTCTCTCCTCCCTGGGGCTCTCATCCTGTTCCACTTGCCACAGGGAACCCTGAGTGAGGTCTTGGACAGTTGCTGTGGTGCCCAGTGCTAAGGGCAGTGACCCCAAGGAGGGGCATCTTCAGGGAGTGGGGTTCTGTCTGCCTCCCACCATTTGTCCCCGCAGGTGCAGCCAACATGAGTGAGCCTGGGGGGTCAGTACGAATCCTAGTGACCGGCGGATCTGGACTGGTGGGCAGAGCCATCCAAAAGGTGGTAGCAGATGGAGCTGGGCTGCCTGGAGAGGACTGGGTGTTCGTCTCCTCCAAGGACGCTGATCTCACGTGAGTGGACCCATCCCTGGAGCAAACCCTCCAGATGCAGAGCTCAAGGCCAGGCCTGTCCCTGAGGCTAGTAGCCTCCTGTCTGGGTCCTCCCCGCCAGGTGGCTGCCCTGGCGTGGGTGTGTGCAGTTCTGCTTCTAGGCAAACATCCTCACATCTCTTCCTGGAAGCCCACGGCTTTGTAACAGCCAGTGCCTGAACTGGCCACTTTCCTTTTTGGCAGTTCTGCCTGCCATCAGCCCTGCCACCAATACCCCACCCCCAGGGTGCTAGTTCCTTCCCTCAGGCCTCCAGCAGCCTCTGAGAGCCTGGCTCCTCCCAGGGACGCTGCACAGACCCGAGCCCTGTTTGAAAAGGTGCGGCCCACACACGTCATCCACCTTGCTGCAATGGTGGGGGGCCTGTTCCGGAATATCAAGTACAACCTGGACTTCTGGGTGAGTAAGGGCCCATGGAGCCCTGGGGACTTCTTCCTCAGCTTCCTATGCTTATGTTTTGACCCCAGGAAGTCCCTGAGGGTCCAGCTTGGCACAGCCTGGTGGGGACAGCCCCTGTGGAGCCCCTAATAATCCACACTCACTTTGTAGGTAGATGGGCCTAGAGGAGGGCCTGGGGGCATTGGCCCAATAGGAAAAGCCGAGGTGGGTTGGGGGAGCTGGGAGAAACCAGTATTTGCTGTTTGACCTAGGTAGGGTAGGTTCCTATCCTCTGCACCCTCTGGGCCTCGAGACATTCCTGCTCCCCAGACCTCTCTGGTCTGGCTGCATTGAACCAGGCTCACCACACATTCTGGGGTGCAGAGACGTGAGCTGGGTTCTGGGCCCGAGGCATCTGGCCTAGGGGCGTGGGGTATGGTGGAAGGGACAGGAGAGCAGGGCTCTGCCTGTGGCCCCTCCTGCCAGGCCGTGCCCCTGAGGGCTGCCCCGCCATCTCTGGGCATCCGGTCTTGGTGTGGTTCAGCCCTGCAGCAGGCACAGGGATGGCAGAGGCTCAGATCAGATTCTGCCCAAGGCCCCTGTCACCCCAGGGCTCTCCTTGTCTTAGTAGCAGTCTTCCCAGAAGCCTGCCTAGTCCTCATCTCTCCCTCTGCTCAGAGCAGTGCAAATGCCCAGTGTCCTCCCAGGGTCCAGGGAAAAGGAGGGGTGGGACTGACCAAGGCCTGTCTGCTACTAGGTGCTGGGTAGGCTCCTCCGGGGTGGAGGAGTGGAGGGCCCCTTCTCCCCATCCCTCCTAGGGCCCGATTGGGCCTGCCCTTAGCAACCTGTCTGGGTGAGGTCCAGCTCTGAGCTAGGGGGTGTAGGCCTCTCCTCCAGCCCCCCTCCCAGAGCCCCAGGGAGGGGGAGTGGGGGAAGACAACTGCCTCTAAGGATGTAAGAGGCTTGAGGGGGCCGTGGTTTCTGGAAGGTCTGTGCTGGGAGGTTTCGCCTTGTCCCAGGAAGCAGTTAGGATAAACTGGCTCAGGTGCTGCCCTCGTGGGAGGCGCCAAGTGTATCCTGCTTCAGTCTTTGGAGGAGCAGATAAGGGCTGGGGTTCTGCCTGGAGGGGCCTGAACAGCCCTGCCCGCCCTTCCCCTCCCGTGCCAGAGGAAAAACGTGCACATCAACGACAACGTCCTGCACTCGGCCTTCGAGGTGGGCGTGTGTAAGGTGGTCTCCTGCCTGTCTACCTGCATCTTCCCGGACAAGACCACCTACCCCATCGATGAGACTATGGTGAGGGGCGGGGTCGGGCGGGGCCGGGGCGGGGCCGGTGGGTCCTGGCAGGGCGGGGCCAGGAAAGCCAAGGCCTCCTGCTCCCCTAGATCCACAATGGGCCACCGCACAACAGCAATTTTGGCTACTCCTACGCCAAGAGGATGATCGACGTGCAGAACAGGTCCTCCTCCCGCACCCCAGCCGAGACCCAACAGGAAAAGGGAGGAAGCCCAGTGGGTTCCCCTGGCAGAGGGAATGCCCCCTCTTTGTGGGCCTCCGGTTTTTCCATCCGGGCGAAGCCGGGGCGGGTGCAGTGGGTCAGTGGTCCCAGGGCAAGGGCCGGAAGAGACGCTGTGATTCCGCAGGGCCTACTTCCAGCAGCATGGCTGCACTTTCACCGCCGTCATCCCCACTAACGTCTTTGGGCCCCACGACAACTTCAACATCGAGGATGGCCACGTGCTGCCCGGCCTCATCCACAAGGTGCACCTGGCCAAGAGTGAGTGTCCGCTCTGTGGGGCCCCAGGGCCTCCACAGGGAGGAGGGGGTGGTGGCTGGCACAGCCTGTCCTGACACCGCCCCCTCGCTGATTCTGCAGGCAGCGGCTCTGCCCTGACGGTGTGGGGCACTGGAAAGCCACGGAGGCAGTTCATCTACTCACTGGTTTGTGCAGGACGGTGCCTCGCTCTCCACCCAAATGTTTCCTGGCCTGCCATGCTGGCTGTGGCAGGGCCATAGCATGAGGGAGCCTGGTAAAGGAGCGGGGGTCCAGGCTGAGCCCCTGGAGGAGCCATCACTGGTCCTCTCTGGGGCCCTATAGGCAGTGGCCAGGTGCAGCACTGAGCAGGGTGTTGGGCTGAGCTGGCTAAGAGCTGCCCAAAGGGAGAAACCTCCGGCCCCGCCCCAGTGAAGCCCAGGCTGCACCCTCACTGAGCAGGGGCATGTAGGAGGGGTGGCACGTGGCCCCATGTGGCCATAACTTGTGGCCTTTGACCCTGTTTGACTTCTAGGACCTGGCCCGGCTCTTCATCTGGGTCCTACGGGAGTACAATGAAGTGGAGCCCATCATCCTGTCAGGTGGGCCCCCCGTGGCTCCCCGGCCGCTGCCGCAGGGCAAAACCCATCGGTCCTGAGAGCAGCCAGGGTTGGGAGAGAATGTCATGGGGGCTGGGTGACAACAAGGCCAGGTGGGGGAGGCCTGACCTGGCTGCTGGCCCCCTGCTCCCTGCAGTGGGCGAGGAGGATGAGGTCTCTATCCAGGAGGCGGCCGAAGCCGTGGTGGAGGCCATGGACTTCCATGGGGAGGTCACTGTATCCTTTGGCTCTGGGGTGGGGCACTGTGGGTCTGACGTGCCCAAAATGGGTCTCTCCCTGGTAACTGGAGAGAGGGATGGTGTTCTGACCCCAAGGTGCCTCAGGGAAAGGCAGCGGAAGTTTGAGGGCAGGCTGGGGTGGGGCTGGGTGCCCCTCCTGCTGTGGCCTTGACTGGGCACCTAGTTTGATACCACCAAGTCAGATGGACAGTTTAAGAAAACGGCCAGTAACGGCAAGCTTCGGACCTACCTGCCTGACTTCCGGTTCACACCCTTCAAGCAGGGTGAGCCCCCTGTCCTCCCACCCCATCCCTCAGGACCCCCCAGCCCCTCCTTGGCTTTGGGCTGGCCTTGCTTTCCCTACTCGAGCTGGGGACACCCTGTAGGTTTGGTGTCCAAACCCTTACCGGGGAGGCAGGAAACAGAAGGGGTGATTGAGGGTGTTGCTGGGGCCCCTGCCCTCCCCTTCTCCCCCAGGGGAGATCAGGGCAGCCTCAGCCCTCACCTGCCACCACCTGTCACCTGCCTACCTCTGCAGCTGTGAAGGAGACCTGTGCCTGGTTCACCCACAACTACGAACAGGCCCGGAAGTGAGGCAGTGTGGGAGCAGGCGCCGGCTGCTCCCCGATGCCCCGGAGGCAGCACCCTCAGACTCTGCGGGAGTGGAGGGCACTGCCTGGCAACCTGGGGCCATGTTCTACTTGGCCAGGGCGGCTCTGGGCATCTGTGCACTGGGCCCACCGTTCATGTCTGTCCTCAGGGAAACCAAGGCCTGGCCAGGCCCAGCACCTTGCTCCCCAAACCAGTCCCGGGGTCCTGAGCGTGGCCCCTCCTGATCCTTTTCTCCCATTCCTTGGGATCTAATAAAGTCCACTTTCCCAGGCCTGGCCCCAGCAGCTCTGTGCCCCCCCATCCCGCAACACACACACAAGCACTGTCCCCCCTGAGCCTGGTTAGCCCCAGGACCCACCATTCACCTGCTGACTGCTCTGACCTGCAGAGCTGCTGGGCGAGGGTGGTAGGCTGGCCCTGGAGGAGAAGGGCAGCTGCAGCTGGCAAAGCAGGTATGCGGGCGAGAGGCAGGCAGGCTGCCGGGTAGAGGCGGTGGACAGTCAGCCGGTGGGGGTGCGGGGCAGGGTACCTGGAGCAGTCTCAGCTGCCGCTGCGGCCACAGCTTAGCCTTTCCACGTGAGGTCCCATGCAGGCCTGGTGACCTGAGCTCCCTGGGCCTACCTGTCAGCACCAGGCCTTTGGGGGACAAAGCTGGTTCCGGATTTGGACCGGCTGAGTAGGCATGTGGATGGATCTCGGGAGGGTGGTGAGCGGGACCCCAGGAGAGAGCTGTACTGGGCCCCTCTCCCTAGCCCTCAGGTGGCAGCTTGTGGTGGGCCTGGCCTGCCCTCTCGCCTGGGCGGTAACAGGTGTCACAGAGGAGGGCCTGCTGGGAAGGGGTGCGCAGCACAGACTTTCACATTCTCAGTAGGAATCCAGCCAAGTCCCTGGGGCAGCCGGTCAGTGCTGTGGGGTGTGCATCGAGGAGCAACCAACTCCAAAGCCCTCAGACACCTTCCCAGGCTCCAGGCCCACCCTTGGGGCCGCTTCCTCTCAGGTCCCCTGCCTCCTGGTCACCCTCTGTCATCCTCATGATGGTGACTCTCAGCTCTTTTCTGACCCCAGATGTGCCCGTTGTGTGAACTGTCTCCTCTAAGGCAGTGTGCCAGGTACACGCTTCCCACCCCCACCCGTCGCTGTGCCCGGCTGGCCTCTCTCGGCACTTGTCTCCACCCTCTTTCTCCAGCAAGCTGCAGTGTTTATGCCCCAGGGGCTCCCTAGTCAGTGCCTCCCCACCTTTGAGGCCTGGAGCGAAATGTTGGTTTCTTGGAGTGCCCACCCTGCCGTGGAGTCCCGTGTGCTTGCCCGGGGTGCCCGGGAGCCTCTTCCTGGCCCTGGACGCGGAGCTGTTGGACCTGGTCAGCCGCCCTGTGTCCCCTGTTCTCCAGCCCCGGGGGAGTGGAGGCTCTGCTCCTGTGGGGTTCGGGGAAGGGGGTGGTGCCTGAGCTGGAGCTTGAGTCAGCCACGTGAGAATATTCAGAGGGAGGCCCAGTGTGGCGGAGAGGCCCGGACACACCTGGCAGGACAGAAACTGGCCACGTGTCTTGCAGTGTGTGTTCATTGCAGGGGGCTGTGTCCCCAGCCAGAATGCAGGTCCCCCAAGTGCGGGCTCAGCTGCCTATAGTCTGCTGCTGTATGGCCTTCATCCCCTGCCCACAGCGGGCTGACCCACCGCCAGGGTAGTGTTGAATGAATGAGATTTGATTGTTGAAGAGCTAAGAATGTGTCAAAGTAGAGTTTAGAATAACAAAATATATTTTTAAAAGATTTTATTTGTTCATGAGAGGCAGAGACACAGACAGAGGGAGAAACAGGTTCCCTGTAGGGAGCCGGATGCGGGACTCGATCCCAAGACCCTCGGGGTCACGCCCTGGGCCAAAGGCAGACACTCAACTGCTGAGCCACCCAGGCGTCTCCAGAATAACAAAACATTTTCAGATGCAATCGTAAAGAATACCCTTCAATGTTAGATCTTCAGGTCTCATTGTTCCCGTGTCAATTAAAAATTACAAGTACAGGGATCCCTGGGTGGCGCAGCGGTTTGGCGCCTGCCTTTGGCCCAGGGCGCGATCCTGGAGACCCGGGATCGAATCCCACGTCGGGCTCCCGGTGCATGGAGCCTGCTTCTCCCTCTGCCTGTGTCTCTGCCTCTCTCTGAATAAATAAAAAAATCTTAAAAAAAAAAAAATCACAAGTCCCCTCCCACCCCTACCCTACCCTCTGGTCAGTTTCAAACGGGCCCCTGCGCGGCCGAGCACTCCATCAGCGCCCCCACCCCAGGATCAACAAGGTCTCCGCTGGGGACCCAGGCCTCAGGAAGGCCCCTCCTGCCTTCTCGCAGGATCCAGGCTGACTGGAGAACTTCGGGTGCAGAGAAGGGACAGGCCGGCTCACACGTTTCAGGGCCTGGAGCCGCTGCAGCTCGCCAGCCAGCCGGCCCCGCGGCCCTCGCTCCGCGGCTGCCACCGCCGTTAAGCTCCAGGGCCCAGGGCGCCCCGAGGGCGCGGCTCCCGCCGGAGAACCCAGCCCAGGCCGGCGGGCTGCACTCACTCCCCAGCTCCCCAGGCGCCGGCCTTGCGTGCCCGGGTCTTTCACCGGAATCGGGGCGGATGTTCCTCCGCGGGAGCTCAGCTGCGCAGCGGCCGGCCGCCGGGGCTTTCCGGGACTCCGCCGCGTTCCCGCGGGGACCCCACCCTTTCCGGCCCTTCGTTGAACGGAGCCTCTCGAGCTGCCCCTGGGAAAGCAGGGTCCGCCCGGTTCCACGCGGCCCGACTCCACCACCGCAGCTCTCGCCCTCCGCCCGGGGCCGCGCCTTCCGCGGAGCGCCAGGCCACGCCCACTTCCTCGCGGCGCCACGCCCGCTCGGGTCAATGAGCGGCCGGGGGAGGGGCTCGCCGCGGAGCCCGGAAGGGGGTGGGCGGGGCGTGAGGTCCCGGCAGCCAATCGACGGGCGGGGGGGGCGCGGCGGCGACATGGGCGGGGCCAGGTCAGGCCGCGGTGACGAGATGGCGGCGGCGGCGGTGCTTGGCCCGGGTCCGCTACGTGTGGGCTTCGTGGGCGCGGGACGTATGGCCGAGGCCATCGCGCAGGGCTTCATCCGAGCAGGTGGGGCGCCGCGGGCGTGGAGCGCGTGGGTCCCCAGGCCTGGGAGCCAGCGGGCGTCCCACGCCGGCCGGGTGTGCGCGGGAAGGGCTCACCTGTCCGGAGCTCACCTGCCGGGAGCTCACCTGCCCGGAGCTCTTCTGCCGGGAGGTCACCTGCCCGGAGCCCACCTCCTGGAGCTCACCTCCCGGAGCTCGCCTCTTGGAGCTCACCTCTCGTAGCTCACCTGCGCGGAGCTCACCTGCTCGGAGCTCACGTCCCGGAGCTCACCTTCTGGAGCTCACCTGCCGGGAGCTCACCTGCGCGGAGCTCACCTGCCCGGAGCTCACGTCCCGGAGCGACGCGTCCCGCGGAGGCTCTGGGCGAGGGTCACCAGGGAGCCCTCCGCGGGGGGTGGTAAGGGCTCAGCAGGACCACCTCTCCATCGCTGGGCACGGCAGCAGGGTGCGCGTGGGGCGCCAGGGCTGCTTGTCCCGGTGAGCCTCGTGCCCACCGCCAGCGCTTGCCACGTGGGTGGTCCGAGCCTAGGGGGCTGCGAGTTTGTAGAATAAGATTTTGAGTTTGGAAGATTTACAAGAACGTAACATATTTTAGTACTTTTTAATGCTGATTAAAACCGGATATTTGGAAGGATAGTATTTTGTTTACATGGGGTTAAATAAAATATATACAATTAACTTTACCTTTTTTTTCTTACTTGCTTTTAACATGGCAACTAGAAAGTGTGAAGCTGGGTCTTTGGTCCCAGTAGTATTGTTCTTGGTCGGTGCTACCTTCGCCCCCGGGATCTCCCACCAACTTCTGGTTTCCTTCCGGCCTCGGGTGGTTTGACCTTTGAGACTCTGATTCTGTTTCCGATGTGATGTGTGCGGCAGCTGCACCCGGTGGCGGGCTGCAGGCCTGGTCCACCTCCTGATGGGCATGGGGTGGGGGTGTGGTTCTTAATCCTTCACACCGTAGGGTGTCGAGCTGCCTTCCTGGTCTGTCCCCCCTAGATGTTGGTAGCACCCCCCAGTTAGGACAGCCGGAACTGTCTCGAGGTTGCACACGTGCCCTGGGGCCTGGAGGCCAGGACCTCCCTGGGGGAGAACGGTTGGTTCACAGGAGGCCTGACAGTGCCGTCCTAGTCTTACTCCAGGGGATTTGGAAACCGTTATGTGTAGAATCTGGGCTGGCTTTCTGCCGTCCGCCACAGTCATGGTCCAGAAGGGTGAAAATCATCAGAAAATAGTTTATGGCAAGTCTCAGGCGCTTTCCGTGTAAAACTCTGCAGTATCACCTTCCTCCCAGGGCTGTGCAGGTTCACCGTACTCTGCGTAGGCACGCCTGGAGGTGGTCACTGTCACGACTCACTGGCTCGGTGTTCGGGTTGTGGGGCGCACTTCTGCCTTCCTGGCAGACCTTACAGAAGTGTAATCTCACCAGTCCTGCACCCCAGAAATGCAGATAATTTCTACCAAATGGGGATTTAGCCCCTGCTTGGACATCCCAGCACAGACACACCCCCCACTCCCAGGGAAGCTCAGCACCTACTGGGCCTCCCTCCCCACCCTGCCCGGGCTCTGTCCCCGCCTTCCTGTCCCCAGAGGCACAGGCCCCTGAGATGGAGTCCTCATGAGACTAGGCAAGCTCTGGGCCCCTGTGTCTAGCAGAGCATCTGGACTCGGCAGCAGCAGAGAATGGAGCAGAGTGCCTGGTCCTGGCTGCACGCAGCACCCCTGCCAATCACTTGGGTTCTTACAGAGCATCAGGCCAGCTGGGGCCAGGATGGCCCGGGGATGGCTGAGCAGGAGAAGCCAGTAAGGGGCAGGCCAGGCTCGTTCCTGCTCTTCTTTCCTTCCACTCCACGTCCTCACCGACCCTTCTGCTTTTGCCTTTCTCTCCAGGAAAAGTAGAAGCTCAGCACATACTGGCCAGTGCACCGAGTGACAGGAACCTCTGCCACTTCCAGGTGGGCTGGGCCCCAGCTCTTCTGCGTTGAGGCTGTCCTGGGGGGTTCATGGGGGCTCTTGGCTCCTGAGACAGTTCTTGGTCCAGGGAAGTGCTGCTTGTTTAGGTAAACTTTTGAGACTGGCTGGGCTGGGCTGGGAAAGAGGAGGTCAGGTCAAAGACCAGAAGGAAAGTTGAGGTTGTGGGGGATGCTAGGACAGAGTAAAGGGGGTATGTGTGCATGTGCATACGTGTGTGCACAAATACACACACGTGTACCCATGCATTGGGTTGGGCAGAGACGGTTGTGGGCACTAACTGGGGTCAGAGGGCATGAGGAAGTGCTGACGTCAGGGGTCAGGGGTCCTGAGCCAGGCGGATGGCCTGGGTGCGTCTTGGGCAGTGGGAGTGGGGGTGGTGCAGGCATTCGCAATGGGAGAGACCCACGGGGACCCCTGGGGCTGCAGAGTGGCCTTCCGCGGCAAGTGCCATAGTCTGGGAGGCTGTCCCACTTACCCCAGCCCTGATCCCACTGTTCCCGTTGCAGGCTCTGGGCTGCCAGACCACCCACTCCAACCAGGAGGTTCTGCAGAGCTGCTTGCTGGTCTTCTTTGCTACCAAGCCCCATGTCCTGCCAGCTGTCCTGGCAGAGGTGGCCTCTGTGGTAACCACTGAGCACATCTTGGTGTCTGTGACTGCTGGGGTGTCTCTGAGCACCCTGGAGGAGGTGAGTGGCCTGTGGGGTTGTGTGGGAGCTGAGGCTCTGAGCCCAGAGTCCGTTCTGCTGGCCAGACGCTGCTTCCCACCCCTTGCCATCCCACACTGGTGCCCTTGAAGAAGGTGGGATGGGTGAAGCATGCGACGGCCTCCCGGACAACCTGGAGAGGTGGCCAGTGGCCCAGGGGGCTGGGCTTCCCAATCCTGCTGGCACCACACCCAGGACACAGGGGAGGGAGCCCGCAGCTGGCTGAGGCCTGGGCCTGCCTGGAGGGGCTGCTTGCACATGTCCCCTGACCCCCGCTTCTCTCTGACCAGCTGCTGCCGCCGACCACACGGGTGCTACGAGTCTCACCCAACCTGCCCTGCTTGGTTCAGGAGGGGAGTGTGGTGATGGCGCGGGGCCGCCATGCTGGAAGCAGTGAGGCCAAGCTTCTGCAGACCCTGCTGGAGGCCTGCGGGCAGTGCGAGGAGGTGCCTGAGGCCCACATGGACATCCACACCGGCCTCAGTGGCAGCGGTGTGGCCTTTGTAAGTGTTATCTCATCCCCTATCCCCCAGGCCAGCCCTTGGCTAAGCGGAGACTTTCCAAGTCTCTTCAAGGACTCTGGCCTTTGGGATTCGAGGACTCAGCTCCCGGGCTGCCTGTGAACTCTCCTCTCTGCTACATCACTGCCTTCCTGGAATGCTCCAGGCAGACCACGGGGCTCGAGCCTCTGCCGTCGTTCCTGCACTGGTGGCCAGTGCTCTGGGCCGGGTTCCTGGGGGTTCCAGGCTTTCTGCAGACTGGGTGGTTTGTCCAGGGGAGTGCTGGCTCTGACAGTCCTACTCCCCACTGGGACAGGTGTGTACCTTCTCCGAAGCCCTGGCCGAAGGTGCCATCAAGATGGGCATGCCCAGTGGCCTGGCCCACCGCATTGTTGCTCAGACCCTGCTGGTGAGTGAGGGCAGCCCCAGCGGGGTCGTGTGAAAAGGGACGGGCTGGCATGTCTTCCAGGAGCAGTGGGAAGGGAGACAGCAGGCCCAGGAAGCCCGCATCAAGATCTGGGATGGGGGCAGTGGACACATGATGAAGCAGGCTACACAGTGGGGCTGAGCTGGAGAGGGAGCTGCCCGGGTCCCTGCAGTCACCCCTGGTGCCCCTCTCCCCAGGGGACAGCCAAGATGTTGCAGCAGAAGGAACAGCACCCGGCTCAGCTGCGGACAGACGTGTGCACGCCGGGTGGCACCACCATCTACGGGCTCCACGCCCTGGAGCAGGGGGGGCTGCGGGCAGCCACCATGAGCGCCGTGGAGGCTGCCACGTGCCGGGCCAGGGAGCTCAGCAGGAAGTAGGGAAAGGCCCTGGACGTGGGCTGCCCCGGCCCCTCCTCCCCGCCCCTTCCCGAGGACTGCAGCCCTCCCACCATGCAGGGGCTTCTTGCCTGCCCCCCTCCCGAGCTCCACACGAGGAAGTGAGAAGGGACAGGACTGGAGGGGCTCACAGGCAGTGGCCCACCATCATGGGTGACTCGGGGTCGTGGGGCCTGAGCGTGAGCACTGCTGGCGGCTGCGGGGCAGGAGCAGGGCTGCTGCTGGGGCATCGGTAGCCTTTCCAATAGCTACGTAACTGCAGCCAGCTCAGGGGGTGGGGGACGTGGAGACTGCACGAGACTGGCTCCTCCTCAGCGAAGCCAGCGGGGGTCTTGCCCCCGGCTTGACCTGCCATGGGGTGAGGCCACCCACGGGGAGCTGGGCCCCAACCCCGCCAGCCTCTGAGAAGAAAACAGGGCTGGCCACTCTTTCCCTGGCTGAGGAGCTGATGGTCCTTCCCTTGGGGAGCCCACCCCAACAGAGGCCCGGGCCCAGGATCTGTGCAGCGCTGGTCGGCAGCAGGTCCCTGAAGGGCCCCGCTGGCTGCAGAGTGAGGACTTGGCTTCGGCTGGGTGTGGGCCCCCTCCCCCAGCTAAGCTCCAGACAAGTGGCAGGTGGAGCTGGCCGTGACGACCCTTCCCTGGGTCATCCTGGCGGGTCTCCTGGCCTGGCCTCCGACTACAGGACATGGCTCTTCAGCATGTCCCTGAATGGAGCAACTGGCCAGGAAAGCCAGGAACTCGGGTCCCCAGCCAAAGGCACAGTCTCCCCGCCCACCCTGCCCCCGAGGTTCACCGGAGCCTCCCCACCCTACAAAGGCCCTGGAGTGCCGGACTTGCCTCGCTCCCACCCAGCGGTCTGCTGAGACGAGGCCAGCCACGCAAGAGCCAGGCTGCCCCCAGCTGACCAGCTGAGACGTGAAGCCAATCCATCCCGTCTGTAGCTGGCTGATGGCACCCCCGCTGCAGTGCTCTCCGTGCTCAGGCCCTTGCCCCCATCCCGAGCCTCCAGCCCGTCCTCCCCCTTCCATCCTTCGTTAGCCAGCTGGCCCTTCCACCTGTTAGGCCAGCCTGAGGCCACGTCCACACCTGATGTATCCATGAGATGGGAATAAAGACACTGTCCAGTAGCACTGAGTGACCGAGATTTGGGCTGATAAAGGGCCTGGAAGCACATGTCAGCTGGGGCTCAGGTGGACCTGGGAGCTGGTAGGTGCCGGGGGCAGGGCGAGGTTGTCCGTCCTGGCTGCGCAGCACCATCAGCTCTGGGACGGTGGAGTGGCTTCCTCACGACACCAACGCCACCTTTCACTGTGTTGGGTTCAGCACTGCCTCCTCCCGTACGGTCCCTGGGAACCCGGTGGGTGGGCTTGTGGGGCAGGTGCGCACGGGCAGGCCGCTTGCCAAGTAGAGGCGCCTCCATGAGCCCCCAGCCCAGCTGGAAGGGCACTGTGCCCCTGGTGGCAGTGGCCCTGGATAGTGCAGGGGCCAGGACAGTGGCTTTGGGGGTCAGGGTTGCAGCCTGACCATGGGCTGGCCACAGCGCTAAAATTACTTTTTCAGGAGGCCGGTGGATATAATTTCTCCTCATCAATTTATATTTTCCTGTCTTTTTCAAATTCTGAGGTTCTAGGCATTGGGTCAAACGTTACAAAATGAGACTCTAGGGGTACCTGGTTGGCTGAGGCAGCAGAGCATGAAACTCTTGATCCTTGGGGTCATGAGTTCAGCCCATTTGGTGTAGAGGTTATTGAAATAATAAGCCGAAACTCAAAAAATATATTAAAATAAGACTTTAGGAAAAGGATGTATGTGATGTTGACACGAACCTTTATTATAAAGCACGTGGGGCCCACCTGATTGGGCCACCCCCCTACCAGCAAGGGTCGGTGTGAAAAGGCCCTGAGCCGAGCATGCACCCTCAAAGCCCACGGTCCTCTCAAGGACACGCCCCTGGATCAGCCTCACCTGTGGACACCCTTATCTGGGGACCAAGAGTGCCCGACCCTGGCCCTGGGCTCCCCGCGGCAATCCTGGCGTGTGGGCTGGGGGACCCCGCAGGGTGTGCTCTTCCCCTCAGCTCGTGCGGACATTGCACTTGCCGCCCGAGGGATGTCTGGGTCGCTTCCCAGGCATGCAGCCCCCCTGGGCAAGGCCACACGTCTCAGACCGGCTCCCTCCTGGTTGCAGCGTGGTCTCATCCCCCTGAAACATGCAGGTCAAGGGGGGTTTAGCAGAAGCCTGCACGCCCACCGGGCCTCCATTCCCAGGCCCCTGCCAAGCCCACTGGAGGCCCTAACCACGACCCTGACCAAGAGCAGATCTTTGCTGCTTTGAATATTCAGCCATTCCATGGAGATACACTTGGGGGCCCCAGATGCCCCTGCCTAGCGCCCCTGGGGCCTGGGGGCTGCTCTCCAGTGGGCAGGCCCGGCGGGGCGGAGGCCAGGCGCCCCAGCCCTAGGGCCCTGAGCTGCCATCAGGTGGTAGGAGATGTGAGACTGGCTGAAGCCCTGAGCCAGCCGCAGACGCCCAGAGCTCCTCTAGGGGTGCAGGCTCCACACAGCTGTGGAGTGGATGGGCCCGGTTGGGGGCTGCTGCCCTGGCCTGGCTACCCAAGCCTTGCTTCCCCCGCTCCCAAATTCTTCACACCCTCCCTCAGCTTTCAGATTTGAGCCATATGAATGGCGCACACGCACGCGCGCACACACACACACACGCACACACACGCGCGCGCACACACACACACACACACACACACACACACACACACTCTCGCTTTTTGACTAGGGACGGTTCCCAGGAACAGTTTGCTCTCAGACTCGTGGGGAAGTTGCTCTGGGGGCTCCCTCCAGCTGCCTCCAGGTGCATCCCAGAGCAGCAGCAGGACTCCGAACCCCCCGCTGGGCAGCAACACATGGACACCTCCCTCCTCCTCTCAACCTGAGCCACCCAAAGCCCAACTGCCAGAGGCTCTGGGAACAGCTCCTGAGCCACACGCTCGCTCGGCAGTACCAGCAGAGGTGGGGCAGCGGTGGAGGGGAACTAAGGCACTGGAGGTCATCCCGGTGTGGCTGGCAGAACCCCAGGCCCGCTCCGGGGAGACTGCACCGCTCTGGGCCCTGGGCTGCACCGAGTGCGCTGTGGCCGCCCCAGGGAGCTCGCTCCGCCATTGGTCAAGTCACCAGGGCCCGAGAGTACAAGGTTGCTAACCACATTGACTAAGAGGTTTGGAATGCAATTTTCTTAAGGAAAACTAACAATCCCAGTGGAACAGAAATCTATGCTCCAAGCTGCATCCAGAACCTCCCGCTCCCCACTTGCTGGCCGCCATCGTCCCTTCCCACTCCCTACAGAGCCAACCTCCAAGGCCAGCCACAGGCTGTGGAGAGATACCACCGTGGCCCCCAGGAAGGAGATCTGTAAAAACGGGGTTAATGTGCTAAAAACCCAACTGGAATCGCGTGATTCCGCATGGAGAGGGCTGCAGGGCTGTAGCACATGGACTGTGAGATAGCAGGGCTCGACTTACGGGAGTGCTGGGCCCTTGTCCAGTGCACAGGATGGGCCACCGGGAGGAAGGCAGGAGGTACAGAAAGGCGCACAAGGGCCAGGGCAGGAACACGGGAAACTGCTCTGGTAAGTGCGCTACGACGTTGTGTGCGTGGCAGGTGGGTGTGGCAAGGGACCCTGGCTAAAACCACAGACCCTACGAGTCTGCTTGCCCAGGGAGGACGGAGGACGTGTGTGAGCCCAGGACCCCTCTGCTAGGTCCCCCTCCAGAGAACGGGGACGAGTGGAGCGGGATGACCCTTCACCAACGGGGCCCCTACAAGCCAGCCTGGGGACCGGGATCCCTGTAGCCCCGAGCCACGGGGTGGGCCATCTCAGGGTAGGAAAGAGGGGAAATGGAAGACTGTGCGTGTCCCCTCCCTCCAAGTGCAGCAGGAGAACAGCCACCGGGGGGCCACTCCGGCAGGCCTGGTCACACCCCATCCTCCGGGACTGCAGGAGAGGGACTGATGCCCCCCAGCCTCCGAGCCATACTGATCAGTGAACGCAGCTGCACCAGCTTCGGCGGCCCCACCTCCCGAGGGTCCTGATTCTCCAGCCACCGAAGAGCTGTCTCCAGACCCCGGACAGCCTCCCCGGCCGTGGGCACGGCAGCCTCCTCCTCCTCCTCTGCACCCCCCATGACAGAGGGTAGGCTGGCCGGGGGTGGAGGGGCGGCAGGGGCCAGCACAGGGGGCCGGCCAGGGCCCGCCTCCTCTCTGCAGCTGTCGGGCAGCCCCCCGTCATCGTCCAGATGCAGCCACTTGGCCACCTCCTCAGGCGCCAGGCGCTTGTAGGACAGGGCGGCCAGGTGTGTGAGGTCGCTGAGCACCCGGCTGTGCTCCGCAGCCTCCTCGGCCTGGCCGGCCGGCTGCCCCCCAACACACTCCCCGGCTGGCCCGGGCTCGAATGCCGCCCGCAGGCCCAGCAGCCAGCACCGCTCAATACTGCCTGCCTGCACCAGGTCCCAGGAGAGGCCGGCCAGGTAGAGCATGTCCTTGAGCATGAAGCTGCGCATGAAGTCCAGCGGGGAGCCCCCGGCACAGGACACGGCTAGCCGCAGCAGCTCCCGCTTGTACAGCTGCTTGAAGGCAGCCACGACGCCCTGCTCCAGCGGGGCAGGGATGTGAGCCCGGCTGCTGCCCTTGGACAGGAATAGCACCCGCACCGCACCATCCGGGGTCTGCAGCTCCTCTGGGGGGCTGAGGGGCTCAGGCCGACAGCGCCGGAGGGCGTCCTCGCTCTCCTCCAGGGCAGGCATCCTGGCCGCTGGGCTCGGGCAGGGCGGGTGGGCGACCAGCAGAACGGCCTTCTGCTGCAGGCAGCTGCGGCGCAGATAACGCCGGACCCCGGGGACGAACTCCTCGAAGAACCAGCCCCGCAACAGCGGGCGGCTGAGCCAGGCGTCGGGGCTGTAGCGGTAGGAGGCCGGGAACTTGTCCTGGTTGTGGTGGCGCAGGCTCGGCGGGTCTGGCAGCTGCCCGATGACCAGCGGCTTCAACTTGTGGCTGCCCGTCAGGTTGGCGGCCAGCAGCACGGTCACCCGGTCGCCGCGCCCGCGCCGCCCGCAGCCGCCCGCGCCGGGGTCCCCTGCGCCCAGGGGCGCCGCCTGCTCCGGAAGTAGCTTCCAGTAGAGGCCGGTGACGTTGGCGTTGTAGATCTGCTCGTCGCCGTAGCCGCCCTCGGCGGGGGGCGGCGGGGCGGGGGCCCGGGCGGCCGGGGAGCCGGGGCCGGGGCCCGGGGGCGGCGCGGGCTCCTGCTTGACCGGCGGGCCCGGCGCGGGGCCGGCGGCCAGGGGCTCGGCCTCGCCGTAGATGCGCTGGCTGGAGATGCCGTGGCGCTTCTGCCAGCGCCAGAACCAGCCGTGGCTGGCCTTGAAGGTGCACTCGGGCCCGTAAATCTGGCGCGCGAAGGCCTCGGCCTGCGCCTGGATGAGCGGCCCCGACAGCGGCACGCCGTGCTGGCGCAGCGCCACGAACCACGAGTAGACGGCGCGGTCGATCTCCTCCTCGTTGGCCAGCCGCATCTTCTTGCGCTGCGTGCCCACCTCGCCGCCCAGCTGCTCCAGGAACCAGCGCAGCTTGGGCTCGTCCTTGAGCCAGCCGCGCAGCGTGCCGCCCGGCACCCCGAAGTCCCGGCACACGCTGGCCTGCCGCTCGCCGCCCTTGACGCGCTCGATGGCCTGCAGCTTGTCCTTGATGGAGTAGGCCTTGCGGAAGGCCATCTTCACGGCCACGCGGGGCCGCGGCCCGGGCGCTGGGGGCGGCGGCCGCGCGGCGGGGGCCGGGGTGGGCGCGGGGAGCCGCGGCGGCTGCGCGGGGCGCCCGGGCGGGGCATGGCGGCCGCGGCGCGGAGCGGGGCCGGCCAGGGGGCCCGCGGGGTACATGGCGGCGGCGGCGGCGGGGGGGGCGGCGGCGGCGGCGGCGGGGGCGGGGGCGCGGGGGCCACACGCCCGCCCGGCCGGCCGCGCGGGGCGGGACGGGGCGCTGGGGGCGGGGCCGGCCGGGCCCTCCCCTTTGTCTCGCCAGTTCTGGGGGCGCAGGCGCGGAGGCCCCGCCGCCCGGCCCCGCCCCGCGCCTTCGGCCCCGCCCCGCTCGCCCTCCGGCCCCGCCCCACGCGTCCTCCGGCCCCGCCCCACGCGTCCTCCGGCCCCGTCCCGCTCGCCCTCTGGCCCCGCCCCGCTCGCCTTCCGGCCCCGCCCCGCGCAGTCCGGCCCCGCCCCGCGCAGTCCGTCCCCTTGAGCGTGCGGGCTCTTCCGCCCCACCCCGGCCGGACCAGCCCACTGCGCCGGCGGCGGAGGGGGGAGGCTGAGCAGCCGCCGTGTTCCCGGCCGCCCGCTCCGGCTCCGCTGGGCCGGCGCGAGCCCCGAGTTGGTCTCCCACGGCTTCCGGCTGGCGGCCGCGGGCAGGGCCGGGGCGCGCAGGGTGCTGCGGCGGCCAGGTGGACGGTGCGCGGGCGCCGTTTCCCCTGCGAGCGCGGCTGGCGGCGGTGGTACGTCCCGCTGCTTCATTTCCCGTGCGCGGCGAGGCCGGCGCTCCCTTTCCCCAGCCGTCCCGCGCCGCGAGCCTGCCTCCTTGGTCGCCGCGTCCTTGGCAGGCGTGAGTACAGCGCCCCGCGCCGCGAGCAGCTGCGCGCGCCGCCGAGGCCCCCGGGGCCGGGCGGAGGGGACGGCGGGCCGGGGCTGGGGGCGCGCAGGGGCGGGGCGCGCGGGCCACGTGGCCGGCCGGACCCCGCCGCAACCCCGGCGGGAGGGCGGCCGCCGTGGTCCTGGCCCGCGGCCTCGCGGTGTCTTGCGCGCGCCGGCCCGACCTGGGGCAGCCCCGACGGCTCGTGGGGTGAGCCAGAGGGGCGCGGGGCTCCGAGCGCGCGGGGTCCCGGCGTGGGTAGTGCCGGGCCGACGGCGCCGGGAGGCCGGCCTCTGAGGGGTGTGCGCGGGGCCTCCGCGCGACGTGGAAGGGCTCCCGGAGCCGCGGGGGCTGTACGGGGCGCTGGATGTTGGGGACCCCGGCGTGAAGGGCCCCTGCCGCGGGAGAGACCATGGGCGAGATCGGGGAGGCCTTGCCCGAGGGCGAGCACCTCTTAAGTTGACCCTGGCGAGCACGTTCCCTGGAGGAGGCGGGGAAGGACGCGCTAGGGGGCTCCCGCGGGGGCGGCCCAGGGCACCCCGAGAGGGCGTCGCCCTGCGCAGGGACGGGCGCAGGAACCTGTCACCTCCTAGGGCGGCCCTCCAGCTGGGCCCCTGCCAGTCCTGGGGAGAGCCCTTGATGGGCTGGACAGCTGCCCTCTGCAGGATCCTGGTGCGGGGTCAGGCTGCCCAGGGTCAGCGCAGGTCCTCAAATGTGCTGACCCATGCTTTTGTGAAAACAGCTTTCTCCAAGGCCTTTTTTCTTTTCCTTCTTCTTCTTCTTTTTTTTTTTTTTAAGATTAACCAAAAAATTGTCCGTGGCGTATTGCGCAGGGGTGTGTTTCAGGGGGGCCGCAGGCGGAAAATACAGGCAAGAATATGTGTTGATCCCTGGCCCTGGGCTGACAATTTAGGATCACATGTGCTCGAAGTGGGTGGCAACATTTTGTCCACGCGGAGTAGAGGGTGGTCCCCAGCCCTTCCCTCACTGACCAGGGCCTTCCCTTCCCCACGCCAGCCGTCCAGCTCTGTGTGGGGCCTGGAGATGCTCAGAGTCAAGTGTGCATAGGAGGGTTGAGGGAGCGCGTGCAGTACTGGGGTCGCCCTGAGGGAAGGGGCCCAGGGGCCAGGCTGGTTAGGTTAGACCCGGGCTCTGGCCGCTGGGACAGGCTGTGGTGGGGACATTGTTGTGCCTGCCTGGGGTGACATGGGCAGCTGCAGCGTGACCGCTGAAGGTGACCACATAGGGGCCCCGTTTTTGCCAGCAGGACAGGTTGATATTTCGAAATGGAGCTGGAGTTCCCCCTGCATGCAAGAGGCAGGCGGCCTCACTCCCAGGGCAGCCACCCTCTGGCTACTCTCATTCACCCAAACAGCACCAGCGTGTGTTACTGCTGTCTCAGGCCCTCAGCTACGGAGAGCTCTGTTACGAAGTACGGGGTCCAACTCTGGGGGCCGAGAGGAAACGGAGCCTGCGGGCTCCCCAGTTCCCACTTCTCATGGAAGGTGGGCGGAGATGTTTGTTCCCTGGGTGAACATTTGTGTGTGTGACTGTGGTGGGGTGGTGTCGGAGGATGGGGCAGTAGTACTGAGGGCAGAGCCTGGGGAGGGGCCGGCCCTTCCCAGAAACCTTCCCCATTCACCTAGGCGCACAGAGGCTCAGAGGCCCCCGACCTGGGTGGGCACAGCTCCGGCCGGCCACACCCTCCCCTTCCTTCAAGGCCCTCCAGCCACTAGTGTCCTTTCGGGGGCTACTGCCCCCCACCCCCGCTCTAAGAGCTCTGCACACGCTTTGGAGCACATAGCACTTCCAACTGCTGGTGATGCAGACTGTGCCAGGCTGGGAGGGTTGCAGAGGAGCGGCCGTTGGTGGCCAGAAGCAATGCAGGCTGCCTTCACCACAGTCCCCGGGGGTGGGGGGGAGTTGATCCCTCTGGGATGTCCCAGACTTTGGGCCCTCCGGAACCCTGGGCAGCTCAGCAGGACCATGCCCCTTCTTGCAGGAAGGGTCCACATGTGCCTGGGGCCCTGGGCCGGGCCTTCAGGGTGCGAGGCACAGCTTCATGGCTGCACAGGGGAGCAAGCCAGTAGATGCCAGCAGTCGTCTGCTCTCAGGAGCAGGGCCCGGGGACACCTGAGGCCCCTTCCTCGAGGGTCTAAGGGGACTGCTCAAACTCAGACTTGCTTTTCTACTGGAAGACATGGGTTTTTTGGTTCAGCAGTCTTCATGGAACAGGATGAGGGAGACGGAGGCCGTGGAAGGGGGTCCCCTGCCGGGTGTCCTGGGAGGTGCAGTGGCAGGGCAGGGGAAGCCGGGAGCCCCCTGCTGCCTGGTCCTCCGTGTCCCTGTGTGTGCTCTTGGCCTCAACACTGGCCTCGCTGCCAGCAGGAGTGGTTTGCTGCCATGTCTGTGGGTAGCTTGCCCAGGACCCTTCATGTGCTCCTGTGGGGCAGCTGCGTCCCTTTGGTACCGGCGTCCTTGTGTCTGCCACACACCCCAGGGGACCGTGGACGTCCCTGTCTGTGACTTGATGCTGGTGCTCTCGTGCTGGCTGCAGCGTGGGGTAGACGTAGGAGGGCAGCAGCCTGGAGGGCAGAGCTTCTATTACAGGAGGGCTCTGGGGCCTGAGTGGCTGGGGGGGTCCTGCCTGCTGGACCCCGAAGGCTCTTTGAGACGGCTGTTGCATCTGGGCAGGGGCATTTCATTGTTTCTGGCCTGGTTTACCACCTGTGATCGGGCTCAAGACCTGTCCCTTTGTTCACTGGGAAGACCGTGTCTTTGAGCCTGGAGTGACATGGTGGTGGGGGCTGCAGAGGCCGGTAGAGCAGTTGTGGTGGTCTGTGCCTTGTCCAGCAGCCTGGATCTAGTGGCAGCACGACAGCGCGGCAGGGTAGGGATCTCCTGGACAGCTCCAGGTGGCCGGCAAGGGCACTGGGGTGCTGGCTGACCTCTCCCCAGGTTGGGACAGGTGGGAGGGTGCTCAGCTGGTGCTCCCCAGGGCCCGCCTGGGCTCCAGATAACAGGAGCTCTAGGAGTTGCTCCTTTCAAGTGTCAGCAGAGTGGTGCTGCCCTGAGTGGGTGGCCTTTGGCGGCGGGTCTGTTGGGTGCTCATCACCCGTGTGCTCCAGCACGCACCTCCGCGCCACCTTCCCAAGCACCTTCTGCAGAGGCCTCCCAGCCTGCCTGCGCTGTCCTTTCTGACCACCTCTAACCTTGCTGCTTTCTCTTCATGCCGTCCTAGGACACCAAAGTGAAAGTAAGTACCTGCCCATCCTGGGTCGAGGCGTTCCCTTCGCCTCAGCCAGGGAGCATGTCGGGCTGTCCCAGCATGAGGGGCCTGGCAGTTGGGCCTCTGTTTCCTTGTCTGCCACGCAGAGGGTTGGATTTGTTGGGCTTTGATCTGTGGAGCAGGGCAGCGGCCTTTAGGGGTGTCTCGCTGCTTCCCTGGGCTGAGCCGGTGTCTGCCTCTGGTGGGAGCACCCCCTGAGCAGGCCAGGATGGGCCTGCACCCCAGCTAGCCTCTCACCCAAGCCACGTCCCTCATTGTTCTGAGACGTCTTACGAAGCGGCTTGGCCTTCCCTGAGGTGTGGCCGCAGAGCCTGGTGTGATGCCAGGAGACCAGGACAGGCCGATGCGGTCTGGCAGGGCTTCACCACTCGGGGGTCAGCCCTTGAAGGGGCCCAAGCAACCCAGCCCTGGGCTGCGCTGAGGGTCTACCGGGGGCTTGGTGCCAGAAGGATTGAAGGGCCGACAAGCCCTGCTCAATTGGCCTGCAGTCCCTTTGGGGACAGTGGGTGATGTCACAATGCCTTGCCTCCTGGGCACATGCCCCCACCTCCCATCACTGCCTCTGCTGTCAGCCTGGCCTTGGTAAGTACTGCTGCCGGCCTGGGGAGGAAGGCACAAGGGCACAGCCCAGGGGTCTCCGAGTCTGGGGCTTCTATCCTGTGGCCCGTGCCCGTAGAGGCCTCCAACATGTCCCTTCACAGTACACGAGAGAATCTGTCCCTGATCCTCGGTGGTGTGGGGCCTAGACAGCTGACGTGTCCCACTGGATAATTAGAATCAGGTTTCAGTTTTGTTTGGGGTGTTAGGAAAGGGATGTCGATCCTGCCACAGGTGGTGGGGAAGGTTCGCTGCCCTCCTCTGGAGACCTTGTCTCCTGGGGATGAGGGCCCAGCAGGTGGGTGTCCTTGCACAGGCTCCATGCACGACCCCACAGAAGCGGGGGGGACAGCAAAGATGACCCGAGGGGAAGCT